ATCCTTCGTTAACACTTTAACAGGTACAACGTGTAAAAGTACGTGATTTTCCTTTCCTTGCGTCATTGTCGTATAAGATGCCATCGAATCTTGTTGACTGTCCTTTCCAAATTTGGATTTGGGTGGTTCAGATCCAGCTGCCCTTTCTGGTTTCTCTTTGTCTTTCTCTGGTTGTCTTTGAGTGGTATTGGAGGATTCACGATCATTAGACTGGAATTTAGAGTTATCCTTTGGTGGCGAAATTCTTCGATGAAGGAGTGGGTGATGCTTGTAGGTAGCTTTACATTTACAAATGGTGGTTGATATACACTGGGCCTTCATGTGTCCCGACGCTAGGCATAAATGGCAAAGTTTTAAATTCTTTACGATTTCCCATCGCTCTTCAGGTGTTTTCTTAACAAAGGAGTCACAGTTTGTGAGTGAGTGTTTACCCTTGCAACACGGACAAAGGCCGGAGTTTTCGAGGTTTGTTGTCAACGTCGAGATCTGATTCTGAAGTGGTGGTTTAGGTGATGGTTTCGGTAGCCTGTTCTTGGGGTCAATTGGTTTCCTCTTTGTAGTCAAAATGTGTCCATATTGGGGATCGTTCATGATTCTGAGTTGTCTTTCTACTAGCTCTAGAACATGCTGTAATGTGGGGTTCAATTTGGTCTCATCACGAATTTTCGGAAGTTTCTTTACCCACTCTATCTGCATGTGCATTGGCAAACGATCAACAACTCTTTCAACGTTAGATGATGCATTAATTTCGTGTTTGTAATTCTCATTGTCCTTTAAGACTTCTAAACAGGAACGTAAATTATTTCTGAGCTTAGCGAGAGAGTTGTTGTCTCCCCTTTCAATGCGAGGACCCACCGTGACTCGTTTTAGGGATGCTTTGACTACGCTAGAAGGATGACCATACTGAGACTCTAATATTTTCATGGCTTGACTAAACCCGTTTGATTTCAGTTCACAATGTTCAATTGCGTCTCTAGCATCACCTTCCACGAAACTGAGAAGACGAGTTATTTTTTCTCTTTCATCAAACTCTCTTTCGTTTAACCAAACCTCCACCCGCTTCTTAAAAACAGGAAACTGAGCAGGGTCACCTCTAAATTTCATTGGCTGGGGTTTCGGAATCCCTTGCCGCTGTAACATGGCTTTCATAACAGTGGTTGTTTCGGTTCCCTGCTTCATGGCACTAACCAATTGCTGATTCATTTCGAGTAATGTAGTTGTTAAATCAGGTTTAGTTTTGTCAACGCTTGGTTTAAACTCGGGTGTAGATGGCTCCGTGTCATTGCATTTCTCAGAAAAGGACGCAATCCCTTGCTTGTTATCGACCACTGATTCGGGTGGCGATTTGACTAACTCAGGCCGAGTTGAGGGGTGATCTGTCTTGTAGAAAGCTCTGTCCTGTGGTGTCGAATTTTTTACATCTACCTTCATATTAACCCTGTTGCCAGCTACAGCCTTTGATAAACTACGCATGCTTCCGCAGTCACTATATCTTTCGTCTGCCTGATCGGCTGCCAAAAGTTCGGCTTCTAACTGAGAGTACTCCGCTTGGTCCCGCAAATCTTGTAACTCACATTCTATCTGTTCTTGCATTTGTTTTTCCTTTGCTTTTGCTCTTCTCTCAGCCTGCTCTAGTTTCAACCTTGCTAATTCTGCTGAACGAGCCGCTGTCTTCACCCTAGACGACACAGAGGACCCCCCTGAACGTCTACTCTTTGACGACCTTGACATGGAAACACTACTTTGTACTGACACAGAAAGTTTATCATCATCCTTAAGGTGAAGACCATTCTCAAACTTTGAGTCTCTCTGTAAACTGCGAATGCTCTTGTTAAGTTGACCAATAGCTAGTTGATTACATTCATTTATTTTTCGTTCGAGACTTTGACGTTGGATGCTAAGACGCTCCAAGTCACGCGTGTTATTAATCAGCTGAGAATAATCTTCATGTACTTTGAGGTACTTAACCCACTTTGAATGTATAGTGTCCAAAGTTTTTTCAATTTCTGTAGTCTCAATATTACTATAATCATAGATTTTTAAAGACTCTGTAGATACTTCAATAATTTGCGAAAGTTTTAATAATTCATGCTTTAGTCCTTTGGAATGTATTTCATTTAAATATTCTGCGTACTCACGCGGGACCTTCCGGGTCCGAGATGTCCTTCGTAAACCGTCGTCACTTCCGGCTTGTTGACTTCGTCGATCGCGAAGTTCGTCGAACTGTTTTGCACCGATTTCATCCATAAAAGATCAAACTATGTTGGGAACGAACCCAACCGAATGTCGTTTATATATCAAATAATAATCACCACGTCATTACACTTTATTTACTCTCAAATTTAGTTTATTCTAAGCAGTACATCATGACAAATATCTTGTACATATCAAATATCCATGCATCATTCTGTCCTCGATTCTGTCCGTATTTCGACTAATATCGGTCGTAAACAAAGGTTTGCTACATAGAATTACAAATAACGTTCATTAACAACAAGTTCAAGTGTTTCAAAGTCAAAATGAAAGAAATACTTACATCTTATGGCGATTTTAAAGCAGATTACGTTTGTATATCTATCACGAATATCAATAGTTTTCCAAAAAGCCTCGCTCGCGAAGACTGGCCCTAAATTAATTATGCTAATGTCAACAAACGGCGCGAAATAATTAGATTAATTATAGTAGCGTCCGTAACAGCCGGCTTAAGACTGTGTCTACACCCCAAGAACACCGGTAGCTAAAAATAATCCTCGCTAATTTGACCAGACGGTTGAACAAAGATTTCATAGTTAATGATTTACCTAACAATTAATAATTTGGTTAATTAAATTATATACACCCTGACTAAATTAACCAGAAATCCAGGTTAAATTACTCGAAAGTGATGACTGATCAAACTAAATTAACCAGGGAATTTAACCAGGAATATTAACCAGGGAATTTAACCAGGAACATTAAGTTATCCCAAACACTGCTTTTTTTTTAAATAAACATGCAGGATATTTTTAACCAGGGTGTTTTAGAGTGAATGTAGATTGCAAATATACCTTGGTTTTCAGTTCCATAGATAGCGTCAAAGTATTCCTTCATGGATACTAGTCCATCATTATTGCTGTCATATTCAACCACTCTTTCCCTCGTTAGTTTAACTGCGTGACTTTGTCTTATACTTGCAACCCAAGTCTTTAGTTCGTCAGAAGATATATTTCCGTCCTTGTTAATATCTGTCTTATGAAGCAAATTTCTACAAATTAAAATATTCAAGATCTTTCGATCCAAATCAAGGAACTTTAAAACGTTTCTGTCATGCTGCTTCAAAAATGAAAGACGTGAGGTTCCGGAGCAAATTATTGTGTTGGGGTCCGAGCAAGGCCGCTGTGAGAGGAAACGGAAAGCCAGCCGAACAGCTAGGGCACTTTGCCCCAAGCCCCAGCTCAAAAGTGAACCCCAAAAGAAATGGTTTGTCAATGGTTTGGCAATAAGAAGTATTTCATATTCTTACATTGCTAGGAAACTCTACTTATATTTACTACATATATGTATTTGGAACAGTGTAACGTGCAAAAGCGCCCCCCCCCCCCTCCTTCCCGCTTAAAATGGAACAGGTCCTCTAGACCTCCAAATCGAAAGTGACGAAGGAGGAGGCTACGTCAAGAAAATGCAATACTTCAACTTTGCCACTTTGTTATCCGTGCTCAGGGGCCTGATTGATTAATTGGCCACCTGGGGCCTCCTGTCCAAAATTTGGTTAGCTTAAGTCTAGGTTAACAATCTTCCCAGCAGATTGTTTATAAGCATGGAGGTATTTCCCTAGAAATATTGTTTGGATCAGTAGAAGCATTATTTTCTAAATGTTTGAAATAAACAGATGTATCCAAACTAAAACAACAGGTTAAATTTGAACAACTGGGTCCTGGCCTGAGCCAGTCCAAATGAATTACGCCACTCCATGGAACAGAGATACACAGGAAGGTGACAGAAGAAATAAAACAACATCGAGAAACACTGTATAGAGAGAGAAAATAAAGTACTGTTCAATGGACCATTCACCTGAAAGCAAGGTAATGCTATTCAGACACAAATTACTCTCGGATAAAATGAAAGGAATGTCAAAAGAAATGAAAGAATGTGAAATTGAACGATCCTGCAGGCTGGAAACGACAAGAACAAGCACGGAAACCAAGATCAATTTTTGCTAAATTCACCAGGGCAAGGAATTTATAAATTTTATGAGTGTACTGTGATCATTTGGCCTTGAAGCCTGACTGCAGGTGACTATTGACCCATTGCCTGGTGTGGTTGTGTATTATTTCTGTTGGAACTTGTACCAGTTAAACGGAGAAGTGTACACAATTGATTATTTATTTGAACTGTTCATTGTTTCATTATTGCTTTTTGAACCGCGGTGTGTGACTCTATTTCATCTGACATTACTGCTGTTTTGTGGTACGTAAGTTCAATATAGGTTATATTATAAAACAGACCTATTACACGTTCAAAAAACACAATACGGGCGGTGTGTTGATCATTGTATAGCTGTAAATTATCGCCTTATCGGAAGGCAATAAATTAACTTCCTTAGCTTTTTTCTAATCGATATCAGAACTCTAGCAGTACTTTAGATAAGCAGTTATACGAACCACTATTCCCCGAGAGCTAGTTTTCGCTTTTCTGTTTATTGCTTATCGGAAGAATGTGGAGTTTTTCAAAACGTGATGTGGAATGCGAATGCCGAGTTTTAATACGTTAATTAATGCGAAATTTCAATGACATGAATGATTATAAGCGCGGATATTTTTTATTTGCCCCTGGGTAGGTGGAAGTTTTAACCTTCAAATTTCCTCCTCTTTCTGAATGCAAGGAAGCCCGTATAAGTTTGTGGAATAAAGGCTGGTTATTAAAAAAAATATAAAGTATTATTGAACGGACTATATTCACCTGAAAGCAAGGCGAATACGTGACAAGGAGAAAATACAAGTATACTTAACATTATTCACAAATTCATCTGTAATAAAATACTGTAAATGAAAGAATGTGAAATTGAACGATCCTACAGGCTGGAAACGAAAAAAACGAGCAAGGATACCAAGATCAATTTTTGCTAAATTCACCAGGGTCAATAAGTGCCTGAAACTTGTAAGGGGTGCTTAGTGTATGCATGTATTTCTAGTGTATCTGAAATTCATTCACACAGAGCCTTGTTATGACCTTCTTCCTTGTATTTTTTAGAATTTTACATCTGATTTCCTGTCAACATGAGGAGTTTTGTGCTGGGTATTTTCATCTTTTGGTTGGCATTGGGGTTCATACCAGCCTACGAAACTGCAGAAAATACATGGAACAAAAGGATGCCGTCGAGTTGTTTTGGTGTGTTTTGTTGTAATCGAAGACCGTCCGAACCAAACGCTTTAGAAAATTTAATGGCAGGGAATGAAAGAACATATTTGTTCCGTTCGCCAAACAGAATGGACTCATCAGAACAGGGACAATTCAAGGTGGCCAGCCAAGAAATCGTCATTCAGGTTAACCAGAAAATCCCATTTCGAGTTGGAGTAGACAAAGCAGAAAAGACACAAATTAATATTCTGACCAAAACTGATGACAACTACATGAAGGATCTCTATAATTTCTCGCCTTGTGGTAATCAGCTAGCCTATTTCCTACCGTTCCAAGAGAATCTTCATACTTTTATGTTTTGGGAATGGGGAAAGGTAGACTGGTTCTTTACAGATAATCTTGGTGGATGTGATATGTTTGTAGCCAAAAGTGAAGTTGATCAAACCAAAAAAGCATTGATTATACACAGCAATTTGAATAAATACAAATCGGAAGTGGAACAAGAAACAAACCTAAGACTAAAAGGTGCAGCAGCGAAGAAGATCGTTGGTGCTTTTCCAGGTTATCATATAGTAATGCGTCTGTACACCAAACCAACTCATCCTAAAGCGCTCCGCTATATGCAACAATATGAGAAATATCATAATGCGTACCCATCAATGGGTCGTAAGAAGATATACCTTTATAATTACGACGCTGCAACCATATTTTTTGGCCTGAAAGACAAATTCTATGCTAAACCAATGTTTGGCGGAGAAACAAAGGAATTGAACGCAAGTGTAGAGTGAGCGAAAGAACTACACTATGTAATAAAGAAACGATCTGTATTTTAACAAATATACATTGTACAGTACCAATGAACTACCGTTTGATGACTGGGTAATTATTTAGTAACGGCAATAGGCCATTTCAGAATTACGGTCGAATACCCGCTAACAACAGCGCGAGAACGAGGCTTCGTGCTAAATTGGGAATGTTTCTATAGAAAATTATATAATAACGTTAAGAATTCAAACGCTTTCATTTTTTGAGAACCGTGATCTATTAGAGGACAGACGCACAGAATTACGTCACAATCAAGGTAGCCAATAGCATTCCCTTATTTGTATAGACATGTACGCGTGATATTTGTAAAATTTCGACGTTTTCAAATTTCAAATGTTTGGGTGGATAAAACGTAAGCTATTTACCTGTTTAATTCGGGATTTTTCTTTTATTATGTAAAACATATCGATAAGATTTTGCCATTGTCTGTTGAGTTATAGACTCTATAGAGTTATAGAGTATAACGTCATAATGTGGGAATAACCAAAAAGTGACCCATTCACCGCGGCAGCTCATGAGCCACTTTTTGCTCTTTCCACATTATGAAGTCACACTGTGTATCTTATTTGTTAACTGGTATTGAGTCAACTGAGCCTCGACTTGGTGTTATCAGTTAGAGCGTAATTCTGAAATGGTCTATTATTTAATTAATAGCACGACTTAATTCGTTCTATTACTTATTAATTATTTATCTTCTGCAATCAAACTGTTTAAGGGGAAAAAGCACAAACATATACAATTTGTTGAAATTCAATATAATTATTACATTTTTTGTCACGACAATTCTTAGTGAAATAGTACAATTTTGAATTAAATGTATGGCATAATCAAATTAACAAATTATTAACTTCCGGGTGTTATTTCCGGTATAATCACATGACAACATTGTTTGAATTTAATTATTCAACAGTCAACACACAATTGGGAAGCCATTTATTGCAAGTTGTCAGCCTAGTCCCAGTCGTTATGAAGCAAGCGCGAGAAAAAACGTGGATGTAGTACGAGACTGGGACCTAGGTGTGACGTCACCGCTAAAGGTGCTTCAGAACGCCTAGCAGATTTCAGTATTTTTATAATATGACGGAAAATTTATGTATACAAATAAGCTTGTACATACGACAATGTTCGTTGATCATGTTCGGTGTCTACATAACCAAATTCAAGCTATACATGTATTAAAAATGTGCTCAGTCAAAAAAAATTATATACAAATTTGCGATACTGAGTCTGAGCAATGGTCGTATAATCGTTGATGTTATTTATATATATACTCGCAAGTTGTGATCAACACTAGATCATACTGGTATACACAACTACGCTTTCTACTTGACAGGTTTAAGTAGCTGAGGAGATAGGAATTCAAAACATTTTTAGTCGGAGACTCGGCATAATTTTCAAGCTTCTAGATAGCATTTACTATGGCTTTATATTTTAGTAAACATGAGTCAGATTTAGTAGCCTTAGAAACGTAGCCTATTTCATTGTTCCGACAGCATTAGAGCAAAACTAATGACTTAATTATAAACACAAAGGAAATTTCCATAAATTTTCTATTTACAAATGCGGTATGCTTGGTAACCAGGCCAGGGACCACTTTTTTGAAATCAGGGACCATTTTACCGAAATCTGCTAGGCTCTCTCGCTGAAGCGTTCCGCGCAGCACACCCAGGCATAAAACTTTTAAGACTTATTTAAAGATATCAAAGAAGCGAATAGAGAGAGAGCCTGGGACTAGGCTGCGTAATGATAACTTTGGACGCGTGTTTAACAATTTTCTCATACAGTGTATAGTAAATTCAAAGGTATAGGGCTCATGTTGTATTCATGAAATATGACATTCTAGAATGACAACTACTGCATGACTGTTGATCAAAATTTATCTGCGCGGTTACGGTGTAAGCAGGTCTGCGAATCAAAGCTTGGTGTTTAATTTATAATACTCCATTGGACTAGAAGGTATGCACTATATATGAAATTAAACGTCCCTAACTTCATTTGCGCACCTTTAAGAGCGTCAGTGGAGGAGAGAGTAGCAAAGCCAATCGGCGCAAGCCATGCAAGTTAGATCAGAACTAGACCTCAACGCGTGCCTGGCAGGGTCTGTCTTCTGCACAGAACCAAATACCGGCTTTTGAAAGTAATCAAGACCAGTGAAGTTAACTGAGATAGTTTTTTACAGTTAGTACAGTTTTCTACAGTTAGTACAGTTTCTACAGTTAGTACAGTACGTGGAATCGGTAAAAAATATTGAAACAAGCAGCGGGACGTTGTCGTTTGGCGTTCGTAACTGAAAACGCTAATTTTTAATAATGATCCTAAATTTTTCAGAATTCGAACAGTGCGTATTTCAGTTACTAAACTAGATTCAACCTATCTTTTAGTGTGTTTTATTAGGTATACGTTCAGCATTGTCTTTTATATATAATGCTCAAAACTTTCAACTTGTTGTGTCGCGGACTTGTATGATACTGTCTTCAATGAACTCTTGAACAGTTGAACTGTGGCCAAATTGAACCTTGTGTAAGTCCTGTCATTCACCTCAATTCACATGTTTTGCTTTATCTGCTAAATATGTGAAGTTAATTAATATCCATTAATCATTACGTAAAAGCCCTGTTTGTCTGCAGTCACCTCGAATAACATTCGTTATACTATTTTAAATCTACGTACGAAATTACATAAAGAGCCACTATAATTATATGCATATGCAGACATTGCTAATCCATGGAAAAATTGTTTTGTGTTCATATGAGAGATATATGTCAGCGAGGATGGATAAGATTTTACCTGCACTATAACCGTGGTGAGAATGCGTAATCGCAATAAAGTACCCATGTGACCACTTTGAAATATTGGAAGATATTTAAAGCAATAAAATTCATATAAAGAAGAAAAGTAGGACAAAATAGACATATGCAAAAGTAGGGGATATTTTGTTCCTTCAGTACTTCTTATGTAACTCGTGCCCCCGATGTGATATTTTATCCTACGCAGATAAATTCAGAAAGTCGAGTATATACCAGTAATGTATATATTGATCTTGGGAGTGAAGCTTGATGTTAATCATAATGGTCCATTATGCCAGGGGTAGAGTCCAGTCACCTTCAATGACATTCATATGCATGCATATAAAGAGCGTCATGAACTTAATCACTCGAGTGAAATCCCCATGCATGACCTTGCTGATCTATAAAAAACTTATTTTGTGTTTATATGAGAGGGGAACTCAGTAAAGTACCCACGTGGCTAAATATTGCTTCTGGACGGTGTTGTAGGAAGATACTTAAAGCAATTAAATTCATATTAAGAAGAAAAGTAGGACCATATGTGGACATATGAAAAACTAGAGGATAGTTTGTTTCTTCACAATAAAACATTTCGAAGGCTCTATATGAGCAACTTAAAGTGCCTATGACACGAAATTTCGCCCCAAATGTTTATGACTGCATTGTAAAAATCACTTAAAATTACTTAACAATTTCTTTTAAAGAATTTTGGTAACTTGCTTCCTTTGCAAGATATTCAACTCTTTGTTTCATATGCAAATATCACCGGTGTGACATCACATCGCATAATGACATTTTGAAAACGCAATATTTTACCTTGATAAATTATTTTTACAAGCAAATACAGAGGGTTAATTACTAGTTATGAAATTAATACATATACAAGGGCAATTTTTAAGTCTTTTAGAGACGTATAACGTATTCGTCAAGAAAGTATACTTTTCTGCAAACTCATTATGTGATGTGATGTCACACCGGTGATATTTGCATATGAAACAAAGTTGAATATCTTGACAAGGGAGTAAGTTACCAAAATTCTATAAAATAAATTATTAAGTCATTTTAAGTGATCTTTACAATGCAACCATAAACATTTGGGGTGAAATTTCGTGTCATAGGCACTTTAACGATTCTTGATTCTTAATATGCAATTTCGAGCCCCCGATCCAAGCGCCAAACGTATAATGGGAATAAGATATTTTATGGGGTGAAATGTATTATAAATCATGTATACCGTCGAGAATTTCCAAAACAAAAATGAGCTATGGTCATAAGCGCCATGCGTAAAAACGCACAAGTTGTTACAGGTCTGCAAACAAGTTGTTACAAATCTGTTCACAAGCTGTCGACAAGTTGTGTTCGCACTGCTTGGTCCCAGTTGTTGTAACAAGTTTGGAAGAAGCTGTTAACAACTTGTAACAAGCTTGATGGCATTATCAGACTGTTACAAGGTTGTTCTAACAAGTCTGATACAGTCATGATACAACAAGACTGTTACAAGGTTGATGACACAAGGTTGTAACAATATTGTTATATCATGACTGTATCGGACTTGTTGGAACAACCTTGTATAACAAGTTTCATAATATCAACAAGATTGTTACAAGTTGTTAATAGCTTGTTCCAAACTTGTTGACAACTTGTGACAAGCAGTGCGAAGACAACTTGTTGACAAACTTGTTACAAGATGTGAGGTTTTCGCTTGTGTACCTATAGTCAGCTAAAATGTATATTCTTGCTATTTGCTAAGTATACCCATCTCTCTGTTCGCGTTGGAATGAACACTTGACTATATCACAACATGAATTGATGTATACCAGCATGGATTGTAAAATAACTGGATAGGAAACTTCCTGACGTCACAGTCTAAACCTAGTTACAATCTGTGACGTCAAGTGCATTGCCAAAGTTCGTCTCGGCATTTTTGTTGTTTCCTTATATTTTCCGGTTTAAAAGAGTAATATTGAAGCATAAACTGGTCCAATTGTTTTAAAAATATGCCTAAGCCACAACAAAGTATTCAAGGTAAATGTTTTTTGTCTTTGTTTTGTATTTTTTTTACATTTGTAGCTACGAAATTGGCGTCGCCAATTTTAACGAAATTCGCGATGCATTTTTCACTGTTTAGTGCTTGAAATATTTGCTAAAATTGACCGGGAATACTTAGAGATTTCATCGTAGAATGGCTTAGTTATATTTATTTGCTCTTTGACTAAAATGTTTGGCTGTATTATCGCTAAACATGCCGTTTTTGAGAATTTGGTTTGCAACTAGGTTTCAACGCCATCATCCCATTGAAAACATTAGGTCATGTCAGCTAGTTTCCTATCCATGTATTTTATTATCCATGATACCAGTAACGTATATATTGGTCTTGGAAAGAAACCTTAATGTTAATGTTAATCTTAAGACTCCATTACGCAATGCGTTTAGTGGCACGCAGTCACCTCTAATAACATTCGTTACGTAGGCACAAAAAGAGTCTATGTATAGATATGTATCATATATGAACACGAGTGAAATCCGTATGACCTTGCTGATCCATAGTATAATAATTTGAGCATATACATATGTTAATTTGTGCTATTAAAATAATATGAATTTTAATAATTATTATTATATCATTATTTGTGGTTATATGAGAAATTTTAACTAGTGAGAATGGGGGATCTCAGTTCAGTACCCACGACCACGTGAACAAATATGCTTGCCATCTGCGAATGCAAATATGCAATCGCCAAAAGATTTTACTTCATTGCGCAGGTGTCTTCAAGAAATATTTAATTTCTATGTTAATTATATTGCCGCGTATTTATGTGTGTTTATATAAACAATGAATCAGGTGAAGACGAGACGGACAAAGACAACAAATTACTTCTGCCTGTATAAAATATTTTGGTTTTACATGTAACTTATATCATATAATTAGATTAATAATATAGAGAGTAGAGATCTATACATGCATCAAGCTTAGATGCCCAATTTGGCCCCAATGTCCATATAGTTTATAACTAACCCGCGCTGATCTCCAGCTCTCATACTTTCTTGCAACTTTTGTTTTTGCGCTTCATCAGTGACTGCGGTATTGGGATATGAGAGTTTAAAAAACGGCTCTCATGCAATTTCGTGCTTGTCAGCTCGCATCAACTATTAACCCTAAGCCCCGGTTAATTAAACGAGAACGGAGAGTTGACTGAGAATTGACTGGATCAGGGCGCTTTAAAATATATATAAGCGCCCTGGACTGGATATTACCGCGCGCGTTGCGAAAACTCGGCTTATCAACAGTCTCATCAAAATTTGAACCATTTCAAAGTCGATGAGAGTTGTCGGTCAAACGTGAGCGACAGTTGCAAACTCCGATCAACTCTCATCCTCGTTTGACCGAAGCTTTAGTTTGACCACGGTATTAGATACATTTATTTAAATGCTACACTAACCTGAGACGAGTTTCAGTTAACTCCTCTGAAATATTCTCAAAAATTTCATCAACATTGTCAGTCGCTGTATCGTGCACCAATGTACATTTCACTGAACGAAAATATACAACAAGAAACAAAACAATCAACTTTGATGCGCGATAAGTCACCGAAGCCATGACCGTCTGAATAATATTATTCGTATAGGCCCGTATACTCAGTGACTGCATTTTAGTCGCATATATACACACGTCTTTGTTTTCTGTTTTGAGGACTTTGCAATGAAAGAAAACATAAATATTTAATGCGTCATTTGGACAAGAAAACTTCGTTCATGTCTGTTGTATTGCCGACTGATCATTTGCAATAAGGAGAAATTATTGCCTATTATGTGTCATTTGCATACATATTACGTATCAATATCACTTGTCTTGATTACGGAGGTAAATTGTATAATTATTATAATCAAATGTCAAAGTTCATGTTTTCTTGCGTAACGAAATTCGACTATAGCGGAGGCTACAATTATTCAGTCTCGGGTCATCAAGACATTCTGCTTCTCTCGGTTCGAACATGATTGTAGTTATTATATGCGCATAAATCAAAATATAGTGTTAGAAATATTGCACATGACACGAACTTTTCTCCCCAATTTTTATGTATTGCTTCAACTGGAGTTACTACCAATAACTTGTTGGCATGAATATTTGGACATGGTTTTACTCTATAAGTTAATTAACAACTATACCTATATTGATGAGAGTGCTCTACCAATAATACGAAGGAAAATAGAGGGATTGCTCGCAGTCTAATAATAGCTGAATCAGGAATAACCAGACGTGAAACCAACGAAAACGTGATTAGATTTGTAATACCTTTTGCTAAAACTGTAACATACCAGTCTTCATATCTTATTAGAGCGTGTAAAACGTGGAACGTTTTAAATAGTGACCTCCGTAATAGAGATATTGGCCTGCAAGCTTTCAAATCTGGACTAAAGACGTACTACAAATACGCGCTATCTAATATTTATAACTATGACGATCCGCGAACTTGGAAATCTGTGTGCGTTAAATGTAAAAGGCTAGGTCCCTTGATGGTGTTTTAAGTTGTTGTTAGTTGTCTCTTGCACCGATTGTATTTTGTCTTAAATTAGTTCGTTTCGACTGTTAAAATTATTGTAAACGTAAAGTTAATTATGGGGTCGCCGTAATTGGGGAAACCTGTGGCGAACTCCCTGGCGTTATATTAGGCGAATCTCATTAAATCATTAAATCATTAAATCAAAGTACCTTGAAAATGATGAAGGATGGCCTTAACAATTCTTATTTTTCACCCTGCTCGGTTTCCTTTGTTCTTGTCGGGGAATATATTCAATATTCCCTTCTAATCAAATTCCGTTTAATAATCCCCTCTATAATATTCACCTGCAATTAATAATCCCCTCTAATATTCACTTGCAATGTCTTTGCAGCACAAAAAATGAGAAAAAACAACATCGCGAAGGCAATATGGCATTAAGAATTATTTCTTTTCTGATTCATTAACGCGACCTCGCAGTGTGAAAAATAAGTACGTTATTTTGAGGCACCTCGGGGTATGTGTTTATTCACCTCGGCGCTGCGCGCCTCGGTGAATAAATCACATATCCCCTCGTTGCCTCAAAATAACCTATACATATACAACTCATCTCATTCCCAAGTTATAAACATTATGGAACGTTTATGTGGTTGTTATAGCAACACACTAGTTACCAGGTCTCTCTGTCCTTTTTGTCTAGTTTTCTTTCCACCGAAAAATATAGGAATTTTTGTGAAAGGTGAGCGCCGTGAATTACTTTATTTGAGTGACTGTTGTTAGCAAAAACTGCGACGACACTTAATCAAAATCTGTGATGAATTTAAAACCGTGTTAAAGGTGATCTACAGTCTGCGCATGTGCACAAATGAGCCCACTTTTTATGATACAAACAGTTTACTCTATGTTTTGAGTTCTTGAAAAGCCTGATTATTGTTTCTTGATCATTTATTATACTCTAGAAGCTTGAAAATATAAATAGTTGTCGAATAAAGCTCAATATTTTGGACACAAAAATGTAAACAAAGGCTTTGTTTACATACGGACTGTAGATCACCTTTAAACCATGTATGTCTTACGAATTATGAATGAGTTTAAAAGTTTGTTCGGACCCTGCACCGTGACAGGCTTAGCTTTTTTCAAAAGTCGGTTCTGCATTCTGATAGGCAGCCGAGAAAATAACAATCTTATTAATTTTATACTCGATTGTGAATACAATCAAATACAGCTAGCTCTTGCATGAAAATCACCCTTGGGCGAATTTGTCTCCAGGAAAGATTATTAAGGGATAAGTAGAGAAAGGGATAAATAAATATTAAAGGCGATCTCCACTAGAGTGAGACAGACAGCAGAGACTATTGTCGAAACAATTCGGGACGACACATGTGCAATTGAAAAAATGTTTGAAGAGCAAAGTCTATAGCGCTGGACGAAAAATCAACTCAAAAATCGTCTGAAAAATCGTCTAGTGGATATAAAAATCGTCATCATAAAAATTGTCTCAAAAATCGTCTATAGTGGAGATCCGCCTTAATTAAAGCCAAGGAGGAGAGAGATCAGTAATTTCAGTAATAGTATTAACGTATGAATATTTTTCTGTGTTGGTGTTGTGTACTCAGGTGAATAATATGTTTGCGATGTTACTCTGAGTGCATATCCACACCGGGCGAGCTTGAAAAATATGCCCGGCCACGGTGGGATTCGAACCTACGACCTTTGGAATACTAGCCCAATGCTCTTCCAACTGAGCTACGCGGTCAGGACGGTTCGAGTAAGGGCTAGTATTCCAAAGGTCGAATCCCACCGTGGCCGGGCATATTTTTCAAGCTCGCCCGGTGTGGATATGCACTCAGAGTAACATCGCAAACATAGTATTAACACTATTAACGTATATTGCGTAGAGGAAATGCGTCATAGCTCTTTGCAGTTTCTGCCCCAGGTAGAGCGTATAAAATCCTAACTTAGGCAGCACAGCTGGGCAATTCATACATTATTATTTATTCATAAGGCATCAGCCTAAAAAGCATAGAATAAAGATCCATATAGAAGGGCCACTCAGGGGTGCAACGTGTCCTCGTTTTTTTATGCAAAAATATGCAGTTTACTGGCCAGAAGGCGGAGCAGCCAGCCAGTACAGCGTGTTTATTGGCCAGAAAATGTCATTGACTGGCTAGGAAAATGGCGGCCAACATGCGTAATGCGACATGCGCGAGGACAGAAACTTCAAAGCTTCCGACGTAAGTGGCCCTTCTATATGGATCTTTATTCTATGCTAAAAAGCATCGTCTCGAAGAAAGGAAAATATTACAGAAATTATTGCACATAAAAGAAAGTATTAAAGAAAGTATAAAAGGGAATTATACGCCAATTAAGGAACAAAGAATTGTCAGGAATTGAAGAGTTGCGCTCAATAAAAAGAGATAAGTTTGAACTATTATAAGAATTGTTTCATATATTAAGGTTATGAAGTTATTGAGTATAATATACACGTAAGTTATACAAGAACCAAGCGTGGCCAAATAAATAATAAGGACGGGCTCGTAACAATTCTAACTAATCCTGCAAATATATATGATTGAAATTTTGTTGAGTGCGAACGAGAGCGAAAGACCGAGAGGTCACTGGTCAGTCATAATGACATATAAAATATGTAACTGTTAGAGAAATAGAGCATGCATTACCAGAAATTTGTGGCAAAGATATAGCTGTTTGTTTGCGCATAACGCATAATATTGATTTCTCTATAAACAATTAAGTATAGAGAAATTTAAAAATAAAATGTTTAGCCAGTTATCGCTTATTTTTCTCCCGATCGTAGGTCGATATATGCATCGCATTACCTAAGCTACATTATCAAGAGTGAACTAACTTCTAGCTCTATATGCATGGTTTCCGAAGACGATTGATTTTCTTGCGTATATAGATGTCACACAGTCTCCATATAATGATAATAACCTTGTAAAACTTATGCCAGAAATTATTCAATTTGACAAACAACCATTTACACGATGCGAGGATCGCAGCTCGAGCTGGATTCAGGAGCTTTTAAGCGTTCCAAAGTCTTGTAGCACCCATAAATGCAAAAATTTGCCCACAGCAAATCGGTTCCAAAAGCCTCTCAATGTTCATCTTTTCTTGCTTTCTTGGGCACTCAAGACGGGTGGTAACCATAATAACGAAGCTAACCATAGTAACTGGACATGCTATGCAAATTTTTAGATAATTGTATTATCCAAATCTATAGAAATCCATTGTCTTTCAACTAATTAGCCCCATACAGACCGAACGCGATTCGACAACGCGACTGGCGCGAATTTTCAGTTTGTAAAAACAAATAAAACCGTCAACGGATAAAAATTTCCACAAGATATGCAGACCAAATAACTAAAATTGCTTAAGTGGTTCCAAATATTTGAAAAACATAGAAAAATATTAAAGTTAAATGTCATTGAAAATTGAAAATTCGCTTCGCGTAACCAATTCGCGTCCGGTTTGCATGTGTGGGCATTAATGATACAGATTTATGAGCACATGATGACCAGTTGTCATGAAGGTCAAAAGTCATTTTATATAACGCAGATTCCGAACAACAGCGGCAAATGACCCAACAATCATTCAACGAGTTCTTTCTCGGTCCTTCCAAGTGTGAATTTCATACATTAAAAATTGTACGAAATTCGCAATCGAAACGTCTATATTACAAAACCTTCAACAACAGTTATATCGAGTGTAGATGCCCAAAATCTTGATACAATCTACATATACTATAATATACATAGCTATATGTCTGCATGATATTAACCATGTATAGGCCTGTATAAACCTTTATGCATGCATGAATTATTATAGTAGCTACTGCAGTAAGTTATTATTTTTAGTTTAGCTGTATAACGATTTCCACTTTAGGTTTGATCAAACTTTATATATATCGAATATATTAGTAATATATTAGACAAGACAAGACCCTGGTTTATTTGAACCAACCGTACTTTTTACAAAATTGTTTTACATTTTTATGTAGTGATTTTCGACATTTTATGGGTTCTGTCTGCCTGAAGTAACCACAAAAGGTCTAGATGAATCAGGCAGACAAATCTGACAAATCTCACACAACGCTTGACATGCAAACAGATTAGGCGAAGTTGCCTGAATTTTATCAATCTATTTAGTCATTATACTCAGTTTGGCAGAATCCCAGAGAGAAGCAAGCACCATATAATTATGTAATTATCTACTGTATAATGATTTTGAAGCTTTAGCAATTTCAGTATATATAAAAATATACCAAACACTTGATTAAAAAACACAATAAACAAAGCAATAAACAGAGCAATAAACAGAGCTGTCTTGCAATAAACAGAGCAATAAACAGAGCAATAAACAGAGCAATAAACAGAGCAATAAACAGAGCAATAAACAGAGCAATAAACAGAGCAATAAACAGAGCAATAAACAGAGCAATAAACAGAGCAATAAACAGAGCAATAAACTAGTATAAATTATTGAATGTTGACTTAATTTAAGTTTACTTTTTTATTTAAAATGTGCCAATTTTGCATCGGTCTCATCAAGAATGTTCCATATCTTCACTTCCTGATATCTAATAATAAAAACTCCAAAATTAGTTCTTTGTTTGTCTTGATCCTAACCTATTCTTTGACTATAGAGTGAAAAGATTAGAATTATAGAATTATGCAATTATAACTGATAGGATTATATTTAGAATTATAACTAGGTCGGTCGGCAGGTCGGTCAAGGTAGGTCAAGGTAGGTCTAGGTCGGTCAAGGAAGGTCTAGGTAGGTCGGTGAAGGTAACAGATCGTACCAAGCGGTACCAGCGCATGCATTAGCAACTTCAGTGTACCAACATTGTAAAAATAAATTGTTTAAAACAACCACCAAATTGGTTGTTTCAAATTCATTTTGAATCTGAAATAACCAATTTATTGTTTGTTTCATCCAATCTGTTTTTACAGTGAAGTTACAAAAACATTATAAAAAGGACTGTGTATATGAAAAATATAGTTATTGAAACTGTGATCAAAGAAAACCTCTGGCTCTATGAACCGTGAATTTTGTTAAATCTGTTTATTTATTTTAAAAACGAGGGAGATATAAAACGAGGGAGATATAATCCCAGGAATCACGTACAATGTACAACCTACAACCATACAGCATACAACCACAACATACATAAAAGCTACCGCAATCAGTACTTACAAACTAGCTACAAGCTTTCGTTAGTAGGGATCCAACTAAATAAAAAATATAAGGAGAATTTCGACGTGTCGAGCGAAGGCTCTTAATTCGTCTGAACTCCAGACGAAGGACTTTCGCTCGAAACGTGGAAATTCCCCTCATATTTTTCAGCTAGTTGCATGCCTGCCAAATAAAGCTTGTTTATATTAGTGTTAAAGGGTAATGGCAATAAAAACTTTTATTGCTTTATCTGAAAGAGCATGAAAAAATAAGCCGATTGGCCGTTTACTGCTCTATTCTATCTCATCTAGTTCCGAAGTTATACGCAAAAATGTGCAAAATATAAATTGCCGATTCAGCACAACGTGTGACGTCATTGGTAGGGTAAGTATGTTTAATGAATAGTAAACTGAAGCATAGCTCAGTTATTATGGGACCAAATCAAATGAAATTTTGGATACTGATTGTACATGATGAGACGCATTGAAAAACACTTCTAATTTTGTTGCCAAGGTAACAATGTCGTTCCCAGGCCTCTTGCGCCAATTTTATAAAACAGCTTTATTCATGTTACTTATAAGAACAAAATAATGTCAGAAGTATGTGTACCATACCTATGCATGCCAAAAGTTTACTTGCATGATAATAATTCGAAAATGACATACACATAGATAAATGCAACTAGTTATTCAAAATCAGTGTAAGGGTCCTGGGAACGACTGCGTTGCCTTGACAACAAAATTAGAAGTATTTTCCCATGCGTCTCATCATGTACTATCTGTATGCAAAATGTCATTTTATTTGAGCCAATAATAACTGAGCTATGCTTCAGTTTACTATTCATTAAACATGCTTACCCTACCAATGACGTCACACGTTGTGCTGAATCAGCAATTTATATTTTGCACATTTTTGCGTATAACTTCGAAACCAGATGAGATAGAATAGAGCAGTAAACGGCCAATCGACTTATTTTTTCATACTCTTTCCGATAAAGCAATTGCCATTACCCTTTAAGGCTGATTTCCACTGTTGCGTTTTTCATACGTACGTATACGCACGTAAAACTTTAAATCCGTTTAAATGTTACTTATGAAATAACCAAATAAATAAAGTAATAGAATTTAGTGTTCCGCAAGTTTTAGTATCCATTTGTTAAATTATCTTATTTGTAAAATATTTAAAAAATAGAAGGATTCAAAGTTTTACGTGCGTGTAAGTGCGTACGAAAAAACGTAACAGTGGAAATCAGCCTTTACTCCGAGTTCTTTTTGTTACTACCGCTGGCGCAGACGGTTCAAACTAGCTACAATTACTGACCTCCATTAACTAAAAAATAATAGTGGTTTATTATCACATTATCGTACCATGTGTTACGAAAGTATACCTAATTAGTATAAAAATAGTTCAGTTTGCACCCCAATAAATTATAGACATTAGTTACGTCAAATGGAGAGATAATGAGCATTTTTGCTGTAAAACTCAGATAAAGTAGATATCATTTCGGACTTGTGTAAAAGTGTCAGTTATCTGTCCATTAGGCAAGCTTAGATAAATAATTTGTCAAACTGTCAAAGTTGGACGATAGCCTTGCATGGTGGGCTGTTGTGTTTACAAATTCAAAGTCCAAGGCTGGTTCTTTTTTATATGAAAATGTGCATGCTTAGGGCGTTTCTATCAATCAATCTTCGGTGTATTTCGCGCGGTCGAGCAATTATAATATTACGTCATTAAAATCTTAAAGTAGGTAAAGTAAGGTTCACATAGGTAGTATAGTATAGCTTGAAGATTTTACTATGATATTTTGATAAGTATTTTAAGTTGTGAACATATTTTAACATTGATCGATTGAACAGCGAACCGACTCGACCAGTGGGACAACGCCTTAAATAAACAGAATGTGAGAGCTGGAACGAGCTAACAACGCCAACCCACACTTTGATTGGCTGGATACAAATCACACACTTGCTAGATCACGTGCACAAGATTCCCTCAACCGTTAGTATAAAAGGGCATGCACAACCCAAATTCGTCAGTGGATGATCTCTCAGTGGACTATCGAGTAGACTATTGAGTGGACCGGCTATCGTGTGCACTCTCGACGAAGAAAGGCTGCAGAAAGAAGAGAACTTTGAAAAAGAACTATTCCAATATTAACATTCGTGACAATAATTAGAAAAGTTGTAACGATTCACTGCCTAAATAAAGCCTCGTAACACATGTGTTAACTATATTAAAATGTTATAAAAAAAATTACGAATATATATGTTTACATTCAATATATTAAAAATTACAGTATATGCTACAGTACGCCTGATCTAATGTTTGTCAAAGTTAGAACACCTTGCGGGTATAAAGTTGTTTCGGTCCGACATTTAGGCATACGATAGTTCATATTGTTACGTAAACTACGTCCATGTGTCTTCTCGGGTTTGAGGAAAGACACAGTGAAGATGAGAATATCTGAATATATGAGAGAATGAATAGCAGAAAAGTAACTAGTTTCAGATTGTTTAATACGATTTAAATGGATTTAATTTAATATAATTTTATTCGTCGGCCAGCTGCTGCGTATAACTAGAATTCACGTTTAATTGGCGATGAACAAAAGTTTCTTTTAAGATTACTAATTGAAACAAAAATGTATGCGTGCAATGTCCATATATAATATGTCCAGGACTACCTTACAAAGAGTGAATTAAATAGCTAACACTGTCCCGTTTTTAGATTTCATTGCAAAGCTATGTAGGAATACTTTTTATACCATTGTAAAAGACCCTGAACATTGTATTAACTATTAATATAACTTAATTCCGTTTAGTTGGTGGACGGTGATCACGTTATGCTAATTTAAGGCGTAGTAGGCGCTTCATTGTAGGAATAGCTTTATTATTAGATCTTGTATTGATTATAGTTATACGTAGATTTGTATACTTTCTATCATATTTAATTCTTTATTTGGACATTCCACGCCGCTACGGAAAGCTACCCGTGCATGGGGAATTCTCCAAGTGTTTGAAATTTCGCTTATGCCTCTGTTCGACGTATGCGAGATGACTTGGGTGCGCACTTCAATATCCCCGCAGCCACAACTTTTCATTTATTATTCTATACAGTGACAGAAATTCATTTTTCCCAGTGATAGGGTACAATCTGCCTCTGTTTCTATGTTGGGTATGTATGACCGAATCGTCAACAATAAAACATTATTATGATTTAGGATGGGTCCATAAGAACATGCCTGATTCTTTATTTTTGAACTTGGAACCAATGATTTGTCAGTTCGATCGCGCGCCAGAGGTTGTTGTGTCCCAAACAGACGACAAAACTCAGGAACCTGAACATGGCTATCATGCTAAGGCTGCTCTTTTTCGTCAATATTTTTCTGTTGTCCTTGTTGAGGAACACAGAATTTTTCCATCAGCTATCCGCGCTATCCTCAGGTGTTGCTATCTTCAGGCCGATCCCTATCGTCAGTTGTTCCTATCCTCAGGCATCCCTATCCTCAGGCATCCCTATCCTCAGGTATCGCCATCCTCAGTCACGTACCCCTATCGTCAGTTGTTTCTATCCCATGGTATCCCTATCCTCATGTATTCTTATCCTCAGGTATCCCTATTCTCAGGTATCCCTATCCTCAGGTATTGTTATTCTCGGATGATGTTCATTAATGCATAATGGCAGTACTGACTACGGATTTCTAGGCTTCTCTCAGTAGACTGGATTGTGTGTACTGTCGTATTTGTTAAATCTTTTTATGTTTTGACCTGAAAGGTTCGGGGAAAATATCAATGAGTTCCATTCAACTTTCCCGGCGTGGAGACATCCAGAGTATCTTCACCAAAATAAAGATAAAACAAGGTCATCTGAACAGCCTATGCCGGTAAGACATATAGTGTTAAAACAAGGTCATCTGAACAGGCTATGTACTAAGATATATAATGCTACAAAACCTGCAAATAAATTTTTATAGTCGAAATAGACACTAGCTAGTGAAGGGGAAGAGAGCAAATAAAGCGAAAGAGCTGAAGAGAAGGAGAGATAGTGAAATATAAAGAGAACGAGAAGGAAAGGAAATTGAAAATGAAACCAAACAAGAGAAATTAAAATTAAACATGTCAAAAGCATTCTAAACATGTCAAAAAAGAAATAAAGAGAAATAAACAAGGAGAGATAGTGGAATATAAAGAGAACAAGAACGAAAGGAAATTGAAAATGAAACTAAGAAAGAGAGAAATTTTCATTGTAAAGCTTTATGAGAACGATTTTCACCTAAGGACACCATTCCTTAACATTGCAATGTTAAAAACCGTATTATATGATGGTTTATAGGGACGGAAAGTGGATATAAATACCGTTTTCCACTTTGAAAAAGATGCTGCAAATTATCAATGGGGCATTATTTTGTGCTAGATATGAGCTCATCCATTTCGTAAGATAAACTTTAATAAACTCTAGTTTATACTATGCTTTAATTAATAAGTTCTCATTCGAGAATAATGAGAAACTATAAACAACAACAAGTGAATAAAGCTTTGTGTCCAAGCCTTTTATGGAGAGACCACTGAGGTATAAATGTTACTGGATTGTCTAATGATGTCTTATATTATGCACTATTTACAGAGTTTTATAGTAGTTGTGGCTCGTGACGGGTCTTTTTCAGTAGACGATTCATCAAAGTATGATATAGTGAAAAGGCAAATGGATACAAGTTTCAGAACAGTTAATCAAATGTCAAACCGTTAATTATTTTTCGTACGCTTGTAAATGATTTCTTAAAAATCTCAAAAACCCTGCAAACAAAGGTATTACTTTGCGTTAGCAGTATAGGGAAGAGGAGTTTTGGCGCGGGTGGTGCACTAAGCAACACCCGCGTTATTCCACGTTATTCCACGTTATCACAATATAATTTGATATCAAATACACTTATAATGTCATTAAAGCGGTAATGACCACAATTGCATTCTGTTTCAACAAAACTTTAACCGTTTACTATTTTACTGTATCCTTGCAGGACTTTTTTTGTCCCAGGTGTCCCGAAACACGATAATTCCTTTAGTTCTCACGCTTATAGCATTATTCCCATATGTTAAGTATTTTATCCATTAACGTGGTATTTCATAATTAATCGAATAATAGTTGAAAACAGAACAACTCAGGTTTAATCATAATTTTGAGGGGAGAGAATAAACTGTGACTTTTTTATACAATAACAGTTGTTAAAAATGGCCTGGGGGCCTTTTTTATGACCCGATGGTCTGATTCTCTAATTACGTCCCCTATCCTCAGGAGCCCCACCCACTCAAATATAACTACCTCCCTCAATCACAAACTGCACACATCACAGCTCAGTTTCTTCAAAATAAAATAAAAACATAAAGGACAATAGAAGTAGAGCATCAAAAAGTGCTTTTAAATTCATCATATTACAAGGTTTTATTAGATTATCTTAGAGAGTCCACTACTTTAACTAACACCCTCGTTATTTTTTTCCACCTATGTTACTTATTTGATAATTTTATAATGTCCGTGAGCCAATTTGTTAACACCGTCTTCTAAAATATAACGTTTATCATCATATGGACTTGTTTAATATGATGGAGTAGATCTCATGACCGTGACCTCGAATCTGATTCATTGACGCTTTTGTCTGCTTCTTATCGAATAAGCAGGTTCTGTATATATATATATATATATATATATATATATATATATATATATATATATATATATATATATATATATATATATATATATATATATATATATATATGGTCTTTCTATGGTCTTTTCAAACACCGCATTATTCATCAGCTTGTAGAAATCATTCTCAAAGTCATTCGCGGCGTGCTTTCTTCATTCTGTGTTGAAATATATGTAGGCTTTGAGCCATGGTCTTGGTTGAAACGCAAATACTCTGTGAATAGAAGTCAGTTCAATTCTCAGCCCGAGATAAAACTTCAGATTATGGTAGTGTACAATATACTTGGTCTTGTCGTTGAGGTTGTGTACTAGTTTGGAGACTGCGACACTTCCGAGCTTTAATCTTCTGAGAGCTGTTTGGAATAGGATGCTAGCATTTCAGGACAAATCTTCATCTTTTCTGGAGCCAACGGATAGCGGTAGTTATGTAGATCGTGTAACTCCTTGGGATACTTTAAATCGACTTCGAGAATATAACCTTCTTCAGAGTCATCGGGAATTTGCGTGATGTCAAGGTTGGAGATCTCTTCTTCATTTAACCAATCGAATTCACCAGTTGGTAAAGGTTGTTACATAGCCCAGCCATAGAGATTATTAGCGTCGAGATACATCACGTAAGATGAGTCTTGATCAGGGTCATAGTCGGGGACGTACGGATTGTTCGCTTTACTGAAACGGTTACTTATCATGGATATTCCACTACGAAGCCCTTCTTCGATGAATAAATACATATCTGGACATAACTCTAGTTCTACCGCCGTCATTTTTAAACAAGCCTGCCACGCCAACCCAGGACTTGTGTAAAAGTGACAAGGATCTAGATTGTACACTTTTAAGTAGACGTTTCGGAAGTTTTCAAATACACCAGCAAGGAGTAGAACGTCAGATCTTAAGTACAAATCATGGTAGTCTCCCATACTTTGGCAGTTAAAAGCCTCAAAGACGCGAGTAGCGTGGTCATAGTCAGCATCGGAAACGTGTTCATCATGTAGAACACTGTAGAAACATTCTTGAGGAGGCAGAGTTTCTTTATCAAACTTTTTCATACTATCCATGTACTGTAAGCACTTTCTCATGATCACATTCAACATATCTCTGTAAGAGGGGAAACATATCCCCACCATTCTTGGATAAGTTTGAGACAAGCCATTCGAGGGAAGCGTTCATAAACTGAAGTGAGTCAGTAAAATCTAGTTTATCGAAAGAGTTGGAAATGAAGAAATGATTCATCAGTGTGAAAGCAAGATTTTTCAAACCCAAAGCTGACGGTAAAGATCTATTCAGTGAACCACATTTCTGCGGTCTGTGTACTACAATGGTTAATGCTCACGATATGGAGAAACAGCTACAAGAAGCTTGCAGTAAAATTACCGATTCCTTGGTGATATATCAAAAAGAAGGAAGTGCTTGGATTCTAGATAAAATAATTTATTTAGACCTGAATATGGCCAAATATACTCTACTGAAAGGTTCCAGTTATATTTCTCTACCGAAAAAGTTGAATACTAAGAAAGCGATCATCAATGTTAAAAATTCCGAAGATAAATGTTCTATGTGGTCTATACTCGCCGGTGTTCACGCAGCACATCGGGACGCAGAGAGACTACTACCAGCAGTTTAAAGATGAACTTAACTTTGATGATATCATATTCCCTATCACAATTGATTAAAAAATTTGAATGTCAAAATAACATTTCAGTGAATGTGTTTGGTTTCGAAGATGTGCTTTTTCCATTTATATCACAAAGGAACATTTTGATATCCATGTAATCATGTTACTATACTCTGAGGGAATAACTAGACATTACTGTCTTATTAAAGACCTGAATAAATTACTCTATGATCAAAATGGTCGTAAATGTCGAATGTATTACTGCCGTTACTGTCTGCATGGATTTATTCGAGAAGACATTCTACAAGAGCATGAACCTCACTGTTGTCAACATGGAGCCCAGCGAATTGAATTATGGAATGAACACAATGCTTCACTCTATTTCAAAGATTATCACAAACAACTCAAGGTACCGTTTGTTATTTATGCTGATTTTGAAAGCGTCACAGCCAAGATCGACTCAGTTTCCCCAAATCCAACTAAATCATCTACCGGGAAATACCAGCACCACCAACCTTGTGGATTTTCGTACGTTGTCGTGTCAGAGGCAAGAAAATATAACAAGCTTCCTGTCTTTACCGTGGTGAGGATGCTGTGGATAAGTTTCTCGAGTGTTTAAAGACAGAACAGCAATACATCGAAGAGAAACTTAGTTTCATCGAGCCGATGCGCATCGAGAAGGAAGAAGAACAGATGTTTCAAAACAGAATTAGCTGTCATACATGGGGTTTTGAATTGGGCGCCGACCGGGTTCGGGACCATTACCATCTCACAGAAAAGTATCGTGGAGCCACACACAACGAATGTAACTTAAACTATAGTTTTACTGGACGCATTCCTGTCGTCCTTCGCAATCTTCGTGGTTATGACTCCCACCTGATTATGCAAGGTCTTGGATGGAAAGCTAAAGAATAAGGTGATCAACTGCATCCCCAACAATACCGAAAAAATATTTATTCTCCATCGATGAACTAGATTTTATTGACTCACTTCAGTTTATGAACGCTTCCCTCGAACGGCTTGTCTCAAACTTATCCAAGAATGGTGAGGATATATTTCCCTTCCTACAGAGATATGTTGAATCTGATCATGAGAAGTACCTACGGAACATGGATAGTGTGAAAAAGTTTGATAAAGAAACTCTGCCTCCTCAAGAATGCTTCTACAGTGTTCTAAATGATGAACACGTTTCCGATGCTGACTACGACCACGCTACTCGCGTCGTTGAGGCTTTTAACTGCCAAAGTATGGGAGACTACCATGATTTGTACTTAAAATCTGACATTCTGCTCCTTGCTGATGTATTTGAAAACTTCCGTAACGTCTGTTTAAAAGCGTATAATCTAGATTCTTGTCACTTTTACACAAGTCCTGGTTTGGCGTGACAAGCTTGTCTAAAAATGACAGAGGTAGAACTAGAGTCATTGACTGATTCAGATATGTATTTATTCATCGAGGAAGGGCTTTGTGGTGGAATATCCATGGTAAGTAACCGTTTCTGTAAAGCGAAGAATCCGTACATCCCCATCTTGCGTGATGTATCTCGACGCTAACAATCTTTATGGCTGGGCAATGTCACAACCTTTACCAACTGGTTAATTCCATTGGTTAAATGAAGAAGAGATCTCCAACCTTGACATCACGCAAATTCCCGATCTGTTCTCGATGGCTCCGGAAAAGATGAAGATTTGTCCTGAAATGCTATCACCCTATTGCAAACAGCTCTCAGAAGATTTAAAGCTCGGAAGTGTCCTGGGCCGCTGAGATTGGCGGGGGCCCGGGGCAAATTTTTTTAGGGCCCCCTATCTAAAAAAGTTTTTCGGGAAAAAAATTTTCCGGAGAACAACGTAAGCTCTGGTAGAGAAGAAGACAGCTAAAGGGATAAAGAAGTCGGTGACAAAGAAGAAGGTAAGACATGATAATTATAAAACCTGCTTATTCGGTAAGAAGCAGCCAAAAACGTCAATGAATCAGATTCGAAGTCACGGTCATGAGATCTACTCCATCAAATTAAACAAGATTGCTTTAAGTCCATATGATGATAAACGTTATATTTTAGTAGACGGTGTTAACACATTGGCTGGCTCATGGACATTGTAAAATTAACAAATAAGTGACATAGGCGGAAATAAATAAGGATGGTGTTAGTTAAAGTATTGGACTCTCTAACCTAATCTAATAAAACCTGGTAATATGATAATCTAAATGCACTTTTTTATTTATTTTATTTTGAAGAAACTGAGCTGTGATGTGTACAGTTTATGATTGAGGGAGGTAGTTTTAGTTGTGTGGGTGGGGCTCCTGAGGATAATGGACATATTTAGAGAATCAGACCATCGGGTCATAAAAAAGGCCCTCCAGGCCATTTTTAACAACTGTTATTATATAAAAAAAGTCACAGTTTATTCTGTCCACTCAAAATTATGATTAAACCTGAGTCATTCTGTTTTCAACTATTATTCGATTAATTATAAAATACCACGTTAATGAATAAAATACTTAACATATGGGAATAATGCTATAAGCGTGAGAACTAGAGGAATTATCGTGTTTCGGGACACCTGGGACAAAAAAGTCCCGCAGGGACACATTAGTAAAATAGTAAACGGTTAAAGTTTTGTTAAAACAGAATGCATTTCTGGTCATTGGTGCTTAGTGCACCACCCGCACCACCCGCGCCAGAACTCCTCTTCCCTATACTATTTGCGTTGTCTTTCGTGCAGAAACAAAAAATAATGATTGAAATTTTTTTTCTCAAAAACTTAATGAACTTTTCTTTTGCTTATTTTAGTATATATTTTATCATAAATTACTTACAATCTTTTCATCCTTGATATCCGACTGAACTATAACGTACAACATAACCATGCCATAGCCTACAACCTGCATTGAACTTGAACCTACACAACCAACAGCATAGCCTGTCACCACATTACCTGCAGCCATGCATCATATAACCATACGACCTACAGTACAGGAAACCCAACAACACAAACAATGCAACCTGCAACCTATGCCTACATACAACCATACAACCTACAGACATTTAACCTACGACCATATAACATATAAAAATAGAACCTAACAACATATAGCCAAACAATCTGCCAAATAGAACATTGAAATATACAACCATGCATTTAACATATTAAAACCATACAAACTACAACCACACAACCTACATACAACAATACAACCACCAATTATATAATCCTGCAATCATTACAACCTATCAGTCACAACCAACTATAAATCAATCATGTCTTTCCACCATGCCAATTGACCAGCATGTTTTTTATGCTTTATAAGCGACTTACCACCACAAAATATTACATCTCAATATGCACTCATTATACTATTGATGTAGCATCCTTCACTCACATGAATAATTTCCGTCTCGCTTAGTGTGGTCAAACTTTTCTTTCGGTTCAATGAAGCAATATGGGATACAGTTTTCTACTCTTTTGCACTCAGACGTACGGCTTCAAATTTACGGTAGCTTCCTTGCAGAACACGATTTTCTTCGTTTCTCCATCGATCGACCTAGTTTCTCTAGGTCGATGGACCTTCTCCATCGACTTAGTTTCTCTAGGTCGCATTTATAAACTTAAAATCCAAGTTTTAATAATATCATGAAGAAAAGCGAGATAAATGATATCATCACCTCTGCATGAAATAGATAAAATATCCCTTTGAAAGATGCAGAACTTTCTCAAAATAGGCATGCTTCCCGATCCTTACCACAAAGGACCATCCACATCTTTATCATCAAAACCTGAAATCGTCATGAAGAGCCACAACCACTTCATAAATGATGAGAAAAGAAGCTTACACGGTCAGAACTTTAAGTTTTAAATGAGAATAAGGGGAGAAAGGCACAACAGAGGTATTTTGCAGGAATCTTGTTGAACGCATACACGACACCTAAAGAGCGGCGTGCATGCTAATTGTTCTGTCTACAGAAAAGCTCTGAAATAAAAAGGTTTAAACACGTATATTATTGAACGAATTTATTAATATTATTACGGTTTATTAAGTACATAAAATTGCACCAGGGTGAAATATGTTATATTTTCAAAAAGCATTAATAGTCTATGAGGCTAGAGTATAAAAATTGTACATGCATTATTAAAAGTTATTATAAAATTATAAGAGTTTAAGGCATAAGTGTTGCTTATTATAAATGTTGATGTCTATTATTTAAAAAAATCATTGGCTGTTTCCATGGGCGTAAGGGAGAGACGTTTCTCTCCCGTACGCCCATGGAAACAGCCCATGATTTTTTTCAAGAATAGACATCAACGTTTATAATAAGCAAGACTTATACCTTAAACTCTTATAATTTTTGTAATAACTTTTAGTATTATTTTTAATAATTCTATCTATTCGAATCTTTTATAACTTTTAATAATGCATGTACAATTTTTATACTCTAGCCTCATAGACTATAATGCTTTTTTTGTCATAGATTATAATGCTTTTTTTGTCTAAGAATAACAATTATTTAAGAAGAAATCTTTATTTCTTCTTAAATAACTGTTATTCTTAGACTTGATAATGTATGCATTATTGATCCAAATAAATTTGTAAAACGTAAAACATAAAATAGCACTACTCTTAGCCAAAAAGAAACGACTATTTACTAACTTGTTCATCTATGTTATTTAACAATTATTCAATGAGGTTGAACATGTTATGAAGAATTATTAAACCCCGTAGATGTTTGCGTTGAAAATTCTTCTTCATATTTTTTTTCGTTTCTTATAAACTTGGAAACACGACAGAAGGCAGGGCCATAATTACTGTTGTCGTGTTTCCACATTTCTTATTCATATTTCCACAGCATGACGTCATAACAGCAAATATGTTTTTAATATCAACGTTATGACGTCACTCCGTTCAATATTAGTCATGTTAAAATTATAAACTTGTGGTTTGTTTGGAATATTATTTTCCGACTGCAATCAACCAGGACCGCAATGTTAACTCCCTCCGAAAAGGGATATTTATTGGTTTATTATATTAAATTTATTAATAAAGACTAGGCATGGATAGTGTCCTAATCAGTGGCCAGATTTGAAGCCAGCTCGAATAACTTAAATTTTGAAATTTTCGGGGTAAAGAAAATGCGTTTGGGTACGAGCCTTGAGCACGACACTGAATAATGATATTAGAGCCGGCCACATTCGGATGATCTAGATGTTTATTCAGCAGCAAATATATGTGGAATTATAAAATAAAGAACAGAAGGATTTACATCCAACATGGTAACAAAACCAAGTAAGATTTGTGTGTGTCGCTCGAACAAGGCTGCCATTCGTATTGGCAGGTCAGATACCGTCCACTGTGCATTCTCAGTTTCTCATTCTCAAGTTCTACATATATTACATTTTTATCTTCAGTCTCGGCTTTGCAACAACCTCGGCTTTGCAACAACCAGAAAATCATCCGGCCGAGTGAGTATTCGCGGAGTGGACACTTTAGTACTTGGCATCTCTGCTCCTTCAGGCAATTCAAACTTGTAATGATGTAATAATATTGAAGAAAAAGAAAACATCATCACCCTCGCCAATGATTGACCAGGGCATTCTCTTCGACCAATGCCAAACGGTATGAATCCATGTAGTTTATTCCAGCCGACGAACTTGCCATCCTCATCCAGAAATCTTTCAGGTTTAAATTTCTCGGGTTCTGCCCAATCTCGTTCATCCTCGTGCACCTTTGGAATGTTCAGGCCGACAAATGTTCCTTTTGGAATATGGTATCCAGCGATGGTTGTGTCACGAATAGCGTTTGTCCCGACGAGCGTCGTCATACCTGATACTCTTCCGACTTCACATAAGGTAGCTTGAAGGTATGGCAAGCTTTTTGCGTCTTTCCAGTTCGGTATACGGCAACGTCCTATGACTGCGTCCAATTCCTCGTGCATTTTGTTCTGCACATTCGGATAGAGGACAATGTATAGAAAAAACCAAGTTAGCCATGTCGAGACACCAACCGATCCAACAAGAACCATATTCAGCATCAAGCCTGGAATATCATCATCCTTCGAGCCAATATCTTTCCTTGTCTCTTTGGCAAGTTCTTTTTAATAAGCACTGATGAAACTATCTGTGAGATCTCGTATGATGCCTGAAATGTAGCTTTCCTGATGGGCTCTGTATTCCGGGGGAAAAATCGTGTTTTTAATCTCTTGTGCTTTCGTTATCTCTTGCGAAAATCGCGTCGGTAGATAAGATAGGAATGGTAACAGCTGATACAATGTATTAAATAATGTTTGTTTGGTAATAATCACTGCGAGTTCGTTGATTTCATTGACAATTTCGTCATTCAACGCTATCTTCTTCGATGTAAGCCACTCCCAAAATTGTACCAAAGTAGAAGACTCGATAAGTTTCTTAAGTGAAAAAGGTCTGCCCCATTCATCTTCGATTTCTTTCATCGCAATTTTAACAGAGTGGCTGGCGTGGTTCAAGGATTGCTCCATCCCAGCGCCAAACATATGCTTTGCTGATACGAATACTTTCTTCTGAAAAAGATATACAGGCGTGTAATCACATGTGCTTAAAGTATCACCCATTATCACCGTAAAAGGATATATAGATTGTGGTTCTTTTCCCATAAGATCTTCTTGTCTCCCGGGGGTAAGCCTTGCCTCATGCGCTAGGGTTGCTGTATTCAAAATAACAGCAGTACCCATTGGAAATGTAACTGTGAAAATATCTCCATATTTCTCAGCTAGTTTATCAAATGGTCTGGCAGGATCTGCAGAGATGATTTGGGGAATGTTTCCAACTAAGGGATAGGGAAATGGTCCGGCAGGCATGTTCTTTCTCGTCATGTAGGCAGTGATGAAGTACCAAACGAGAAACAATGTCACAAAAACTTCGATAAACATCGTGCACCTGTAAGGAACAAAATGGCTTTCTTTAATAAAGAGCAATCGATGTCTTGAGTTACACGCTGGTGAAAGGATAGCCTGCACTGCTGACGCCTTTGCATTTTTGGGTTGTACTTGTGGGTACGCAGATTAGCGCCATAACATGTTCTATAATTAATTCATCGTATTTAAATAGTTTAATTAATGCAGAAAAACATTTCGAGACTTCATGTTATTGCATGTAAGTAATGAACGATGTAGACTTTTATTCAACGCATTCAACGACCAAAAATAGAAATATTTTATTTGGGGCCGGGAGAAGCTTTTGCGCTTTAAAACTTGTATATTTCGATATGTATCTTTTAATTTCAGCTAGTGATTGCATCGTGGCGAGCTATGGTTGCAAGAAAACAACTATAAATTGTTGGCACGAAAACTTCATATCCTTGCGCAACACATTAGCTATAACTGCATCCTGTACGCCTCTGTCTTCTAACAGCTGTGACTGAACCTCAAAACAGACCACCACCAACAGGCAACAAACTTTCGTCCGAAGGTGTCCATTATATATATGGAGGTTCCACAAAATTTCACGTTCCATGCATGGGGCACCGGGAGAACTCAAGGGGCAGGGTCGCCAGAGGCCACGAAGTTTAGTGAGGTAGCAAGAGGCCTCGAAGATTACTGACCAAAAGGGCACTTGAGTCAGCAAACATTCTAAATATGTTAGGTGTGACCTTAGAAGATCTAGAGCCGATATGGATGGGACAGTACTAAACCACGAAACAGCGAAACCAAACAGCGAAACAACGAAACAGCGAAACGAAACAGCGAAACGAAAGAGCGAAACAACACGTTTTATATTATTTTTAGTGAAATGAATAAACTACATTTAAGTTAAACTAAATTAGAACGAATTAAGTTAGACGAGATGAAATTAAATCTTTAATTAAGTTACAACCGTACAACGTCATCACGGCATCAGCACATAATAGTCTCAGTAGGTAAAAGTAAAATAAGCATCAAAACTGTGATACGTTTACCCAAATTGAAGAATGTTTTCATGTACGGTATTATTATGTTACTATATAACAAAAATAAATCCATTGCCAGAAATTACAGCTATGCAAAGGTGAACATTTAACAATTTATTTGTCGAAGGCGAGGTGATTTATATCGGGGAAATTCCTTCACCGAGACGAAGTCGAGAATTAATATTTGAATAAAACAACTCCATAGTTGAATATTTGAATAAAACAACTCCATAGTTCAATATTTACAATCTCAATTACCTAATCCTTGAATTAATTTTATAATTTGTCATAAAACTTATTATAGTTTGAACTCGTGTAATAATAATTTTATTTGTATAATAATTTTCAAAGCATGCAATAGCCGTTTTGACTTGGAGTCGTTTTGACTTGGGGCCGTTTTGACCGAGCACCCCACACACATGCTCGTTTCACAGCCAAAATTTAATGTCAAAACAACATGAAAACTTCAAAGAAATTATAACAGAGGAAACTTTGATAGTATTCGAAAAGCAGAAGAGTTTCTATATCCTTCCCAACATTCGATAATAAAGATTAATACGTGACACTATTAGTATTAATTATGACTTTTATGTGCTGATGGCGTTGTAACTTTAAGCAGGGACGCTGGAACTGGGGGGGGGGGCAGGAGGGGCAGCCGCCCCCGTTGCCCTTTAGCAGAAGGGGCAAGGGGGGGGGGCAAAGGTGCCCTTTCAGTTTAAAGGATTGCCTTGGTGAAATAGCGAATTGTCAGAAATGTTAGTGCAATTCTTTTACGAATTTGCTTCAGAAAACGCAAGAAATGCAGTCATTGAGCTTCAAGAATAGCACAATCGCCTGGCGGAGAACTCCCTCACACCCCTATCATCCAATAAATAGAAAACATGGTTAGGCGAAGTTCAATTCCCGATGTTTTGCAAACATCTCTTAGTATATACCAATTCAAAAGTGCCCTTTCACGAAAATCTGCCCCCCCCTGCCTTCACATCGTTCCGGCGTCCCTGACTTTAAGGATTTCATCTTGTCTAACTTCGTTCTACTTTGATATAAATGTAGTTTATTCCTTTTACTAAAAATAATATAAAACGTGTTGTTTCGCTGTTTCGTTTCGCTGTTTCGTTGTTTCGCTGTTTCGTTTCGCTGTTTCGTGGTTTAGTAATGTCCGATTGTTCGTTTTATGTATTAGCCTTGTGTTTGGTGGCAAACACATGGAATTGCGTATCATTTTCCATTTTCTCACTCCACTACAGCATAAACATCAATGCATTTGAAGTTGACCACCCGTCAGATTCACTGCATAATGCCGTAATGAAAGCCAAGCTAGAATTCAGGGGGCCAAATTGGCCGAGACGCAAGAAGTTTCTTGTTTTAAATAGCAATAAAAGCAATGGCTTCTCGCTTTGTCGTTGCGGATATTAAATATAAATGTTATTGAAGAATTAAAAACTTCTAGTGAAAACTCGAATACTAGAAGAGTACAATTTTTTGGGTTCACAACTGAAATCACATTCTTCCACCGTTGGGAATTGAAAAACATTAATTATGCAAAGCCAATTAATCAATCCAAAAGCAACGGAGTCTGCTGCCAGCTATTTGTTTCCTAAAACGTTTTGATTACGAATGTTCTCTGTTCAGTGCATGGTTAATTGAATCATGTTTAATGGACATTCTTTGAAGTTTTTTCTCCAAGATATGTACTGGTGTGAAGACCTACCTCCTCCGCAGGCCTTTCAAAAAAATAAAATTGGTGGGAAACGAACCGAAAGGCCTGCGGACTAATTTTCCAAAATGGCGGGAGCCACACACTAAATTATATTTAATATATCATTTTACCAGAACAATATTATTATTAAAGTCTTTAAGGGACGGACCATTAGAAAAGTGATGGGGGGGGGGGAAACCAAAAAAAAAATTATTCCCAGAAAAAAATTAGGGAAAAAAATCTTCCCAGGCATAGTGCAAAAAAACATTCCTTCCTTGGAAGATAGGCCTATAAATTTTAATAAAAAAAAAATATTTCCAGCCATCAAGTGAGAAAAAAAAATTTTCTTCTATAGGTGTACAAAAAATATATATTGCCTCTTAGAAAATCCCCCCCCCCCATCACTTTTCTAATGGTCCGTCCCTAACTACTTCCGATATATACCGTATTTCGTAGGGTGTAGATAAAAAGCGGACGGATAAAAGGCGGACGGCGGACCGCGGATGGCGGACCGCGGAGCATTTTATAAACGCATGATTACTACCGCAACTAATTATAATACCCTAAATTAAAGTATACCAGCCTTAGATATGTGAAATGAATATGTTTTCATCTGTTTGAATTTTTAGCAAAGGAATTTAATTTAGTCAGCATTCGATACATATGCATGATAGGAGGCTATTCGCCGTCTTTCGCGTGAAACGTTTGGAAATATTGCAAAAAAGTGCCTTAGTTTTGGTGTTTCTATACATAACTGCCCTAACACTGCCACTGAATTAAAATATTATTAACCGGAAGGGGGCGATTACATGACATTCACTTGCAGTCATTTTCATACTTTAAATTGTGCTGACTTGTTTTTATATAATGAAATTAATCCCCGTTTTACTTACTAAAAGGCTAACACGTAGCCAAGGTCCATTCACGTGAGCAGGGACGCCGGAACTGGAGGGGCAAGGGGGGCGGCTTTTGCTAGGGGGGGCAGGGGGGGCAGAAGTGCCCTTTTAGTTGTAAAATAATACGTGATAAATCACATTTCCAACGATGCTTTTTGTAGGAGAATACGAGATTCAGGTAATTTATAGTTTGTATTTATAAAAATTTTGGGAAATTTTTGGAATTTAGAAAAATTTTTTGAAGAAATGGCGAAAATTTAAGATATCCGGAAAAATTTTTGGCTTCACGGAAAATTTTTGTATGTCCGGAAAAAATTTTTGACCCCTAAAATGGTACACTGACCGAATTTTTTTTGGCGACGGGGGGTGGGGGGGGGGGAGGTCGCCAAAAAATTTTGCAGTAAAAAAAAAAATTTCAGTAAAGGTGCCCTTGGTGTGCGTCCGCCCCCCTTTGCCCTATTATCGTTCCGGCGTCCCTGCACGTGAGTACTTACACATTACTATTCCACTGTGTATAAATGTAGAACGAAATTATAACCTTCCCTAAGCCTTCAAATACATATAATATAATACCCAATATTTACGCTGCACACATATATACATTTTTCAAACATCTTGTTACACTGATTACTGTGTGACATTTACATAGTAGATATTATAATATATTATATTTACATAAATATGTCAGGAAAATATCAATTACTCAATACAGTTAAAGAAATGACAAATATATACAATTATAAATATATACAATTGTGAACATTTGCATGTCCAAACTTTATAAAAAAATTCTCTTAAATCACTATCCATAGCCCATACTCAATACATACTACCTATATGTGGCTACGAAATAAAACAATCGTTCAAGAGCCTTGAATGACAGAAAAATATCGAGCAGTATTAGCAGGTTTAAAAAATTATTGGGCTCAATGAAAATCCACCCCATCAAATGATCCGCCCCTAATACATAATATTTCTAAAATAATATAGAATAGTCGTTGCATGCAAATCGGCCATTTCTACATGTGAACCTCTTAGGTTTATAATTAAAACGAGGATTATTTTCATTATAAAACATATGGGGACCTACTAGAAACCCTAACAGACTTTTTAATTTAGGCCCCTAGTTACAGTTCATTGTTATCTATTAATTAATATATTTACAGTAAAATCAGAAAAACAATTATCTTAGAGTGTATTATTTACAAAAGGAAGGAAAGAACTATAAAGCAAAATAATTACAGTACAAATATACGCCATATATAAAGGCATATTGACACTAGTATTTATCACTATATAATATGTAAGTAGAATGCATAATTTTGAATTTGAATCCTATTTCTAATTCAATAAATAATGCTGTTTAACTTGTTTTTGAAAGCAGTGCAAGAGTTTATATCTTTGATATTTGATTCTAGTAAGTTCCATACATCAGCACCTTTATTAGAAAGAGTATGCTTTGCATAATTTGTTCTTTTATATTGCTTTTAAAGTTTGATGCGTTTCTCGTGTTATGCTGATGAATTTGATTACTACTTACAAACAAATTATCAAATTCTTCAGGTAGATTTTTAAGATGGTGATATCGAAACATGAACATGGCAGTTAAATAGTCATTAATTTTAAAGATATCTAAGATGTTTAATTCTTTAAAAATCGGCTCAGTGTGTTCCATATACGACTTAAACGTCATCAACCGTACAATTTTTTTTGAATATTCATTATTTTTTGAATACGAGTTTTGTAGGTGTTACCCCAAATTAAGTTTCCATAAATAAGGTATGGATAGACCAACGCATAGTATATCAGCTTAATTCCATTTAATTCTATTTACGAAATGACGCATTTTTGATATTATGCCAGAGGCTCTAATAATTTTCTTTGCTACTTTAGCTATATGCAGTGGCGTAGCTAGCGATCCTGCTTGTCCTGCCCAGCAGGACTAAAAATTCCCCCAAATTTCCTTACTAAAACATTGCTTTATTTCTCTTGAAGCTTTAAAAATTTATCATTATCATATTGTTATTTTGTCTCATTTTCTCGTCTTTTTCGTTATTATTTTTTAAAACGTTTTTCGCATTGTGTTATATTTACGCAATTTTACAGCTTGCCGGGTCTGTTACCAACAATTAGCAACTGCAATTCTACATTGATTTACACGCGCTCGTGTTTCAGTCCTGCCATTTTCAAATGGCAGGACTTGCTAGTATATTTCATAGTAAACTCATACAAGAAATCTTGGTTTCTGATTGGATAATTAGGTCTGCGCATGCTCAAACCAACTGTTTACAAATGCGAAGTCCTGCTCTCTGGAAACGGCAGGACTAGGCCTTGTATTGTCTTTACTTGCGAGCTTTCCGCGTGACTAAACACACTTTTTACTAATTCTGTCGAGATTACTCAAGTTATGAATATGGAAATCAACGAGAGTGGAAGCCCAGTGTGATTTTGATATCATTTCTGGCTTCTGCTAAGATATTTTAGCTCACGAATTCATGTGAACAGACTTGACTGATGATTGTGTATTTTTATAATACAATATAATAGGGAATACAACTTCATTTGTGAAGATTGTCGTATTGATATAAAGTAAGAACGTAATATTTACTGCCAGTTCATCTGCTTTGTGCGTTTGAAACGAGCACTTATATGGAGTTTAATTTTAAAAATGATATACTGTACCAATTCACACTGTTTTAAACGTAGATATTTGGCCGCATACACTATATTATTAAACGCTATATTAATACCATAGGCATAGCGTACTGAATTACATTCAGAGTGCTGAGTGCCAGGCGTAGTGATCTGTAGTTGATACCACTCCATTATATAAAGCTTAACACATTACTAACAAACGTAGTGAATTTTTAACGAATGCTAGCGGTAGCGTTATAGTGTATAAAACGCCGTGTTCAACAGTATAATAGTTACGCAATTGTTGACTATGTGCATGAGGTTGGATTATGCCGATGTTGATCAAGTGAAAGATCGTATTACAGACGCGTATTGTATACATGATATTTTCCTCTTTCGTGACTATATTTAGTTACATTTTCAGCTAAGTTGAAAAATATATAGTGAAAATGCATGGATTTCAAAAAGTTACAATATTTTTTTTCTAAAAAAAATTATCAAAAATTTTCCGCTAATCACGCAATTTTTTGATGTTCCCTTTGGAGTATTTCGCCGTGAAATCGCAAGAAATGGCCATTCCAGACTTCTAAAGGACCCCCTAGAATGTGTGGGTCTTAGAGCAGGACTAGTCAAATTTCGCTAGCTACGCCACTGGCTATATGATTATTCCAGGTCAAACATTCATCAATAATTATACCAAGAAAGTTTGTACTTTTAACTTGTTCAATGTTTTTATCATTTATGGCAATTTTATAAACGTCATATTTTGTTTTTTTATTGGAAGATCTGAACAGAATAAATTTAGTTTTATTAGTATTTAGGGATAATTTATTAACATTCAGCCATTCGGCTACTTTATTAATTTCTGTTTGCATAATTTCATTAATTGTTTTAATACATTTGTTACTATAAAATATATTAGTATCATCTGCCAATAATACAAATGAAAGTAGTTTACTGCAATTTTCAATGTCATTCATATTATAATAAAAATAGAATAGGTCCAAGAATTGATCCTTGAGGGACTCCAGTTTGAATTAACATTTCTTTTGACCTAACTTGATTATATTTGACAATTTGCTTTCTGTTGGTCAAATACTTTTGAAACCATAGTTGAGCTACTCCCCGTATACCATAGTGTTCTAGTTTTTGTATCAGAATCCTGTGATTAATTGTATCAAATGCCTTTGATAAGTCTAGGAATATACCAATTATGAATTCTCCATTATCTATTGCTTTAGTAAGTTTGTTGGTAAGTTCAATTATTGCAAATTCGGTGGATCTATTCTCTCTGAAACCATATTGATGGTGCGTCAACATTCTATTTTTTTTTCGATGAATTTGATTAATCTCTTATACATGAGTTTTTCTAATAATTTTGAAAAACAAGTGAGAACAGATATGGGTCGATAATTTTTAAATTCATTGTTTTCGTTTGCTTTGAAAACTGGTGTGATTAATGCTGTTTTTAAGTTATCAGGAATATTTCCACTAATAAAAGTTAAATTGAAAATATATGAAAGAGGTTCCGAAATTACATTAGTAACATTCCTGATAACTTTTACACTTAAGCCATCGTACCCAGGACTCTTTGGGATTTAAGTTTCTGATTTTAGTCTCTAATTCGTATTTAGTTATGGGCTCGAGAAAAAAGCTATCTTTATAGCTACCAGTTAGATATTGATTATAAGTTCTGTCACTTTTTTGGAGTTTTTTGGCTATGTTTGGTCCAACATTCACAAAATATTCATTGAACATGTTTGCTATTGTTTGTGGATCACTAATCTTTCCTTCTGAATTATTTGCAGTAAATTCTTTCGGTAAACTTCTATTTTTCTCATGTTTGTTCATAATTTGGTTTAATGTTTTCCGTAGCATTTTTGTATCGTATTTGTATTTTATTAGTTGTTCTTCATAGTATTTCTTTTTTGCTGCTTTTATTACGTGGTTAAGCTTATTTTTGTATTGTTTGTATTTGTTTTCATTCTTTATTGTAGGATGATTTAAGTATTTTTTATATAGCTTGTTTTTCTTTGTGATAGACTTGGCAATGCAATCTGTTATCCATGGACTTTTGATTTTGTCAATATTTTTTTTTACCCTCTTTTTTGTTAGTGGAAAACTTCTTTCATAGACAGTTGAAAATATGTCAAAGAATCTATTATAGGACTCGGTGGTGTCATTGCTAGAATGAGCATTTTCCCATGACGTGCTTTTGATTGTGTCAGTGAATGTTTTAATATTGGAATCATTGATAATTCTTGTAAATGTATACTCTTTTGCTGGCCTAATATTTTGATTAGACTTTAAACTTTGCACATGAACGATAGGCAAGTGATCAGAGATGTCAGAAAAAAATATGCCATTTGTACTGGATTCTACACTTTCAATATCGTTAGTAAAAATATTGTCAATAAGTGTTGTCGTATGTTGTGTGACTCTTGGTCTCAATATAAGTGGAATATATGATGATGTAAATAAAACTTCTAAAAATCTATTGGTATAATCACAAGATTCTGATTTTAATAAGTCAATATTGAAATCTACCATAAGATAGCATACTTTATTTTCTTTATCTATTTTACCTAGTATTTCATTAATTTTATTTTCAAATTCATCGATTTTGTTGTTTGGTGGTCTGTATATTACGCCTATTATTATATTTTTACAATGTCTATTATCACTGTCGCTTGTGCTTGTAAAACCCTCCAATATTTGAATCTCCTCGTCGCTTTTATCAGCCATAACTGCCAAGATGTATTTAGAAAATACTCGCAAAACGGGATTGCTAAAGATTGGCAGACGATGTTCCATATTTTTGAAGAAATTTGACCCAACCGAGTAATCGGCACCAAAAGCCAAGTAATCGGCACCAAAAGCCAAGTAATCGACATGTTATTCAGCAGGCCTTTAATACAGCTACGCAAGCCTTCGTCTCAAATTTCAAATTTCAACCTGCGAACGGGCATACTCATTACGGGCTGTATGGCCTGTGGAGGAGGTAGTGTGAAGACGTTGTTGCCTGAACGAGGCATTTAGGATGGTGCTAACTGGAGACGCAAAATTGCGTAGCTAGTCACGAAGTAGTAATTGGATATCTCATCTGGGCCACAACTTTTTGCCGGATTCAGTTTTGATAAGTAATAGTAAACTGTTTCTTCAGCAACAACCAAAAATTCTGGATTGTTTTTCTTCTAAGTCGAGGGGGAGAAGAGAGAAAGCCAGTTGATATTCAGACCAGGGCCGTAGCGAAGGGGGGTATTGGGGGGTGGTTAACCCCCCCCCCCAACTTTTTTAGAATTAACATATTCGGAAAATCAGCTTGGTCATTCGGAAAATTACGGCAGTAATAGTATAACAAAATTTTAGTTGTTTAAACAGAGAAATATTATAAAATTGTATTGTCAGTATCATAAAATGATTTACAAAATCACGGCATTTACATGGATAACATTTAACAAATCGTAGATCGATAAATGTTTTTCGGTTTATTACTTCCAGCCCTCAATATATCTTTAAAATACTGACAATTGATTAATTTTAAGCGGCTACATTACCCATGACAAACCGCAAAGAATCATACTACTCATATACGCCTTCGCCCATTTAGTTCTTCTAAATTGTAAGCAAATTAATTGTAAATTTCGACGTGCTAAAACTCTGTTTTCTGACCATCAGAATTCTGTCAAAACTTCCCCCAAAGTCCACGAAATGGCATTTCATGCGGAGACTGTAAATTTAAAAATTTCCTCGGGCCTTCGGTCCTCGTCACCCCCTTATAAAAAAGAACTTCCTACAGAACTGCACGCGTCTGTAATATGTCTGTGCGTAAAATATGAGTATTTTTGTTTGTGAATTGCGTTTTCATTTTCCTGATAGCAAGCACCTTCGTGGCTTCGTATGCCACGAAATATTCGGAAATTTTTTTCGTCATTCGGAAATTTTTGGCCTTCACCCCCCCAACTATGCATGCTTAGCTACGGCCCTGATTCAGACAAGGGATCTAAGAAAGCTTCGTTAACCGTATTAGCTATTAGCTAATTTTGTATAGATAAATGTTCGAGATTTTCAATATTAATTTGATTTCTGATATCACCAGAAGAAGATAATTGCATTCCGTTTAGACTTTTAACTTCTTTCCACCATGACTTTGGATTTACTTGCTTCATCTGATGTACGCGAGACTTATAATAATAGTTTGATTTACAGACTTTTCTTTCTGAATTGGCTGGGTCCCAGCCATAGGTGGAGAACGCTATCTGTCTCTTGTCGATTAATGATTTGAGATGGCTCGTTATCCAAGGGGATATTTCTTAGCCTGTTTCACCGGCATTAGTGTCTAGTGAGTTTACCCTGGTAAGGACGATGTTTTGAAACGTGTTCATTAAGTGTTCACAACCATACGAGGGTCAGAAGATTAGAGACCAGTCGATTGAAGTCAAATACCTCAGTTCCTAATGCTGCTTAAGAACTTGGATGGATACTTCGCTTATGTAAAATAGTTGGCAGGGCCGTACACAGCGGGGGGGGGGGGCAGGGGGGCAACTGCCTTCCCCCCAGAGAAAAATATGTTTACAATTTTTGGAATGACATTATTAATTATTCTTTGGGTATTTGGGACTTTTCCAGACCTAAAATTTCCAGACCTAAATTCTACAGATCTTGGTCGAAAAAACGGGTTTTACCCATGTTTTAACGGGAATTTGTCCGGAAAAATTTTTTTGAACCTTGATTTAACTGGTGTTAACCTTTTTTTAAAGGGGGCAATGTCACCGATTTTTGACCTAAAATGCCTTTTAAGTTCAAAAACTGAAATACAAAGTTAAAAATAAACATTGTAAATGGATTAAGTTATGATATATGAGTCATATTAAACAACTTTGAACTTCCACGCAACATGTAACAAGACATGCCAACAGTTAATCAAGATCAATTACAATCCATCTCAATCCTGGCGTAATCTTGCCCATCCAGACGTGTTTGTGTCTGTTATTGCTTTATTTTGTGCTTACACTCATTCTTTTTCAGTTTTGGGCAAAATTTGCGAGGGCTAGAGTTGCTCAAAAATTGGTGACATTGTCCCTTTAATGTCCGGAAAAAAAATTAAAAACCCAATCCCCCCCTCCAACATTTTTGGGGAAAATATGGTCTTACTGCCCCCCCCCCCGTTAAAAAATCCTGCGTACGACCCTGTTAGTTGTGGAGTTATTAATTCTGTTCTTTGGTGAAACAGTAATAGTATTGTGATCAGGTGTATCGTAATAGGCAATTCCAGCTTTTAAATTGTGCGCGCTGGGGATGACGGGAAGCAAGGTATCATATTGCTGATTATGCTGAAAAATTTCAATAAAGACTGCCGAAACAACCGAGTTATTTCAATATTTACAAGTATAAGCTGTCACTCCGTGTTAACACGGTCGCCATTTTTACTTTTTCAGCATAATCAGCAATATGATACCTTACTTCCCATCCTCCCCTGCGTGCATAAACTAAAAGCTGGAATTGCCTATAATCGTACAAATTTGTTTAAATAATGTCAAGGATGGCGTTTCTGCAGGTCGGCGTTTGAAAAATTTGCTTTAGCCGAAAGCGATTTTTTATTTGGTTAACATTAAGGCGGTTAAAGTCTCCAGAAACAATAATTGCACAGTTTAGGAATCTTGACTCAATAATTCTAAGTGATCGAAATAAATGGTCTTTCCATAGCCTATCGAAGCGAAGATGGCATGCAGGGACGTCGCGAAGACATCAACATTGGGGGGGAGAGGGGTGTCGTCATGTTTTGACCAACTTTTCCTAGGATTTTGACCAAGTTGTAAAAATTTTTCCCGGAAATGTTGTCGACGGGGGGGGGGGAATATACCGGAACATCACAATATTTTCGATGGTAGCCATGCGACTGTTTTTAAACATGGACGTCTGACAACATATTTTATTGCAAAAGTGATGGATCTTTCCCATTTGACGGTAACGCCTTCAGAACTGTGTTAAGGCCTGTTTACACTTGCAATTTTTGCTGCGATTTCTACTGCAATTTCCTCCTTCTGATGCATGTGGACGAGTAGATGAGTTATGAATGTTCGGAGTACATGTACTCTCATTTGAACATTCATAACTTATTCACTCGTTCAAATGCATCAGAAGAAGAAAATCGCACCTAAAATCGCAGTAAAAATTGCAAGCCTTTTATACACAAAATTTAGTTAAAAATTATTGGTTAATTAAGGTTTAATAAGACGGGACTTCTTAAGCCTCGTTTACACGAGCAAATTTTATTTGACAAATTTCATATGTCAAAGATATTTTGCTCGTGTAGATGATAAATTTGTTACAAATTTATTGTGACAAATGCATTTGAACAAAAGCTAGCATGCTAGCTTTTGATCAAATGCATTTGATCAAATGAAATTTGTCAAATAAAATTTGCTCGTGTAAACGGGGCTTTACTTGATATAAACAACTGGCTCAAAGTTGCCTTAATTTTAGCTTTTGATTTTTGGATAAACGCTTGGTGGTATAAAATGGTCAATTTTAACTAAATTTTGTGTAAATAACACAGTTCTGATGGCGTTCGAAAATAATGCTGACGTCAGCACTTTTGTTTTTCAAGACGCTGTAACTCAGGAGGAATTAATCATATTGATTCAAAATTTTTGGTGAACACTCGTAATGATGATATAAACAACATATAAAACTTCCAGTATAGAGTTATTGTTTGTTACTTACCGTCAAAATGGGAAAGATCCATCACTTTTGTAATAAAATATGTTGTCAGACGTCCATGTTTATAAACAGTTGCATGGGTACCATCGGAAAATATTGTGATGTTCCGGTATATTCCGGGAAAATGTCGTGATATTCCGTGATATTCCGCCATATTCCGTGATATTCCGCCATATTCAGTGATATTCCGGGTTTTCACAACGCCCCTTACGAATGTCAAATGTATTACTAAACAACAGTATCCTAGGGACTTATGGTCTTTGTCTTCGAAAGCCACGCGATTTTGTATTGTTGACCAATTGCTCAAGATTATTAAACTAATTTAATTATAAAAAATGCAGTATGTTTGATCCTTGATAACATTTGGTATCGTTGATTTTCTCTTTTTCGGCCGTATACCAGTGGATTCGTCTCAAAAGGCAAAAAATATTTTATTTTGAACGTTTTAAAGAGCAGTTTAACCCTAGCGTATGGACAACTGGCGGCCAACAGCCGACAGAAGAAAGCAGCGTACTAAATATAACTTTATACTTGTACGGCGGAAACGCCGGAAGTTTTATTTGTATAGGGCACCGCATTTTAGTACAGTGTCTGGTTCTGGTTCTATAAAATCCTGACCTGGGGTCATTATACTGTCCTAGGCTTGGAACAAAACTAATTCACCTATTAACAAAAACTTCAAAACTGAGCCACCTACCTACAATACAAACCTAGCGAATTTTTGGAGCGGCAGCACTCTCTCCTTGACAAGCAAAATCGAGACATTAAAATAATAAAGTAGGGTGCATTGCCATCGCGGCACAATATCTCAAAAATACAATTTGTGTCAAATGCTGTTGCTAAACATGATAAGTTTGATTTTAAATATAGTTCACCAAAAAAACTATTCTATATAGGCGGAATTTGCATGTTTTCCCTGTGAAGGACAAAAGCACAGCATGTGTTGCCTGAACAGAAGAACAATGTTTCTTCGTCCTTCGCAGGCAATATATACAAATTCCCTTATACAATTAATCTGAATTATGCACACTGCATATTACAAAAACAAATAAACAAAACCAACCGCCTCGCTCCGTTCTAAGAAAGACCCTGGGACCGAGGTTGAAACAAAACTCACTTGAGAGACGTCATTTGGCCAACCGAGGTCTCATTTTCGTACCCAGAGCCCTTCTTACGCGCGTTCGACCGAGGGGCTCTGGCCAAATCCATAACCGGATACCATAAAAACATGATATCCGGTTAAACACTGCGCATGCTCAACGTCAAACGCGGATAAACACTTCGGTTTTCTTGTTTGTTTCGTTTTGAAAGTTTTTCTCCAGGAAAACCCCCACAAAAGCGGTAGGTTTCGCTAATTTTATTTAAATCAATTAGTAGGTAAGACGTGATGTTCTCAATGCATGTTGATAAAAATTTAGTGTATATTTCCCTCTTAAACGTTGCCAAACAGAAATGGCTACGGATACGAAGACGAGACTCACGAGAGATTGTCTCACTATTTTATATTCGATTTTAAGTCGCTGTTGTACAGATTTTTACACTTTTTTGTGTTTTATTAAAAGTCAACAGTCATACATAAGACATACTATACTGCAAATCATTTGAGAATTGTAAAAAATCGGTTTCTAGGAAGAAAATAGTCATCACAATTAACTTCATATTCTGGCTGGCTTTAATATTTTCTCTTCAGATGTCACGTCAGCTTTGAACATGTAACACAGATTTGTTTGATTAACATCAATGATTTGGAAATACGACGAGCATCTGCCATAAAATATGCTGACTTTTTGCTATGAGAATATCACGTCTCAACCTATTAATTTCAATCAACTAATTGATTTAAATAAATAAAATTAGCGACATCTACCGCTTTTGTGGGCGATTATCAACAACAATCTTCCTAACTGCTTCGTACTGCTGTTCTTTCAAATTTAATAATGTCTTTTTCTACCAGTTTTATCCAAAACGAAACCAACGCTTCATGGAGCGCTTGATTCTTATTCATATTTTATACAATAAACCATATATTTAGCTGTGGCTAATCAGAAGCCAGTTTGATATGGATTTGGCCAGAGCCCCTCGTCGTGCTCGGTCGAACGCGCGTAAGAAGGGCTCTGGGTACGAGAATGCCGAGGTCTGAGCTGGCGTCTTCGTTTCTGTAAATTGTTCTGTTTTTCTGTAGCAGTTACCAAATTATGAACAAATATGGTGACAAAATTTAGTTTTCATTTGTATAGCCCAACGAGTTAACGCCCCATAGAGCCAGTGGCGTAACTACTATGGGCTCGGACCAGGTGAACCCGGGGGCCCCCAACTCCAATGGGCCAAATGGGGTCCCCCAGGCTCAGCGTGTAGAGCAAAAACATTGGCCAGGGCCTGCGAAATGTCACAATGTCGTTTTCTGACCATCAGAATTCTGTAAAATCTCTCCCCAAAGTCCGGGAAATGGCATTTCAGAAAGTCTAGATTCAAAAATGTTCCGCGTGAGCATGCCCTGGACCCTCTACAAAACTCGTGCATACACGGCGCTCAACCCGTGCTTTTGGCACTTCTACTAGGGGGGGGCCTTCGAAAATTTTGAACCGGGGGCCCCCTGATATATCGTTACGCCACTGCATAAAGCGTCTTGTTCTAATGAGTTTCGCAGCCATCTTCCCTTCGATAGGCTATGGTCTTTCATTGAGTATTCATCTGCAACTGGTGGGTAGCCTGCGAACAGGCTCTCAAGCTGAATTGAGAGCCTGCATCGATGACTAATGAATTTGAATATCTGCCCCGTAACGTTCGTTTTTCCAAATATGGGATGTCTATCCTTATATGGTGTTGTTTACAACTTTCGTGCACACTAAATTTAGACCGTGCAAACTAAATTTAGACCGTACAGTTTATACTGTTTTTTGAAATATAAAATATTCAAGCAAAAGTTCGAATGTTTTAAATACTGTTTTCTCAAAACAGAACATTTCGTGCTTTGTGATAAGATGGCCCAGACCAATATGATCAGTTAATGTGTTTTTTATGCATAGTGCTAGCAGTTGACATAAAAAGAGCTCAGCGGAAACGCATAAATTATAGCATCTGACCAATGAGAATTTTGCGACACGATTTGAGACGCAGATATTCAAGTTCATTAGTCATCGATGCAGGCTCTCAATTCAGCTTGAGAGCCTGTTCGCAGGCTAACTCGTGGGTGGTACACAATAATGCAGGAAAACTTGCGAGGAATGTGAATTGGCCTCAGATGTTGCCATCGAGCGTATAAAAAGCGCGTAAGTACCTTATTATAGGAAATTAACGATGCGCTTTATTAACGCGGATTTTAAAAATTCGCGTTAATTTAATTAATATTAATTTATGTGATCGTTAATTTTAAGTATGTAATTTTCATTTATCGTTAGTTAAAAATACCTAGATTTGTTTTATATAACACTAACTCTTTTAATATCAAAATACAGCATATTAACGTAAACTAAAAACATCAGTGCTCCTTTTAGAAGTGCCCTACAGTCCGTATGTAAACAAAGCCTTTGTTTACATTTTTGTGTCCAAAATATTGAGCTTTATTCGACAACTATTTATATTTTCAAGCATCTAGAGTATAATAAATGATCAAGAAACAACAATCAGGCTTTGCAACAACCCAAAACATAGTTAAACTGTTTGTATCATAAAAAGTGGGCTCCTTTGTGCACTTGCGCAGATCGGACTGTAGGGCACCTTTAACATTAAACCTTTGTTATTGTTGTTGTGTCTATATTTTCCGATTCGCGTTAATTTAATTAATTTGTCAACCATGGAGATCAGATTCGCGTTAATATAATCATGTTTTAAAAGACCTAGAAGCAATCCGCGTTAATTTGATGTCGCGTTAATTTATGTCGTGCTAATAAAGTGCATCGATAATATCCTATAATAAGGTAAATAAAACGCAAATCCCAGCGGCAAATCTTTAGAAAACTTCTTATTTTATCTTGTCACGTTGAATCCAGTAAAAAATTAAAATCCTGACCCCCTCGAAGCTTTATTTAAAACGCTATATTTTCTCTTCAAATGTATGTTTTTACCGGAAGTGGGCTTTCTGTGCTCGCAGGAAACTATACCCACAATAACCAATTACGCATTCTGATTGGTTTAGAGCGATATTGTCAACAAATGCGCTGATTGGTCGAGAACGAAATTCCCCCTTGTTGCCGCCAGTGATGCCAGTCCAAATAATTTAGTGCTTTCTCAATTCTCTTGTTTAATACATCATCATGGCCGTTAATGCATTTATATGTGAACAGATCCTTTGCCGCCAGTCAAGCAAAATAATTGACCAATCAGAATTTTCCGTCCACCAGTGGACGAACAATTCGAAAGGTACGCCTGTACTTTTCGAAATTGTACTTTTCGAATTGTCTGTTCACTGGCGGACAGAAAATTCTGATTGGTCAAAAACCTGTACCGTACAGGTTTTGGGGCATCTGTAGTTCAAGCTTCCCTCCCTTCGCGTGCTTGCTAAAATACCGCCTGCTACGCAGCTTACTCCATTAAAAATTGAAACATACTGGACATCGTTAAAGGAGCAGTGTAATTTTGGTAATAACCGGAAAAGAAATGAAAGATATTTTAAAAACTGGCCGTGGCCTCACGATAAAACTTTATAAAAATGTTCTCTGTTTCATGTATTTTTATTTGATGTCTTGGGTACAAGCGAAAAAATAGGGGCTCGTACAGTTTACGAGGTTATAAAATGCATGACTTGTCTCTTAGAGCTGCTGGTATAATAGCTAAAATACAGCATTTCGCAAACCAAAATCTGTAAAACTAATATACATGTATTATGCATTTGTCTATCCATACTTGATTTATGGCAACACCTATAACATTGGGTAATACTTACAAAAGCCGAATTCAGAAAATAATGAATATACAAAAAAAAATAGTACGTCTAATGACATTCAAATCTTATTTAGACCACAGTGAGCCAATTTTCAAATATTTAAAGTGGAAGTCAAGTCCGTGTGTAAACAAACGGTTTGTTGACATTTTGAACTGCTGTATTTTTTTAAAATGTGATTACTGACTGAATATCTAACACCATTTTGGTTCGCTATGCTTCTAAATGAATATGAAATAGAGTTTATGTTCAGAAAAATTCAAAACATTCGAAATTTGGGCAATGTTTACATTAGAGGATCCTCACATTGT